TACTGTGTATTCAGGCACAGTCAGTCTTTTCTTTTTCTTTACCTGTGCAACTTGGAAGGCAGGATACACATCAGCGATGGACATACTTATTGTTGTAAATGCTGGAATAACACTAGGTTTACGGACATTAATTTGTGCTATCGCCCCCTCAAATATTGAGGCTTATAACAGATGGGTTGTCCAACAGTCCTGTTTTTTTACGAATGAAGAACAAGAGTTCTTACTGTGCTATTATGCTGTCTCCAGGCAGCACTGCTACATAAGTTTATTATACAACAGTTAGTTCCGGCCACGCAAGCTGATTGGTTGAGAAGTGTTCTAACTGTGCTGTTATTTCACCATAACATCATAGGTTTTTCACAAACACTATCACTCGCCTGAGACGCCGTTGCTAAGCAACGACTTTGATAGGAGACACTCAAGCTATTTGAACGTTTTTACTTCTTACTTTGCACACAAACAGAAAATGGATACTTTGAAGATCACATTTTGACCTACAGCCGATTTGGTCAAACTCTGAAGATCGGCACACGCCTTTGACTCCTGCCTGCGACCGTGATGTTATTTCACGATAACACACTCCCTCTCGTGTTCTGTTGCTTAAATTGGAAGCAAGGCATAAAAAGTTTGCTGCACTATAGATTTCACCAGATTGTTGTGACCATGCCACACAACAATCCACAGGGGGAGCAGATCAATATGCATGCTCGAACCAGCCCCAGATTTTCTTTCTGACTTCATGTGAATGCTTGCACTTCATTGCCTGCAGACCTTTCCTCAACATTTGATTCCGCTGACCTGTGACATGTTCAGCACTCAGAGCGTAAATGTCTATGCACCCAGAATGGTCCATAGTGAATGCTGCCTTGGTGATCGATTATAACCTGTCATGGCTGTGTTGTCTGTGTAAACCAGAACATGTTGCCCTGTTATTCAGTGAGCAAAATGCATCAGAAAGAGCTGAACAGCTTCCAGCTCTAGTACATTTGTGTTGCCCCCTGCGCCCCTCGCATACTGCTCCACAATCCATTAGAGAAGCGTTGGTCCTTTACAATCCAGAGTACCACCCTACCTAGAGATGTGCCCGCTGAAAAAATACTCACTTATCCATGACACCACTATGCAGCAGCACTGTGATGTGATGTGATCCTGAGTGCCCGGTCCACTCAGCCTGTCGGTCCACTGTCGGGTGTATGTGTTGGCTGATGAACTACCTTTTGGAGAGGTCTTGTGTGTAATAAGCCCAGAGGCACAACCACTGATACTGCTACCATCAGACCAAATAATACCATTACTTTGCAAGCACTGACAGTCCAGCTTTGATAGATCAGGTGGGCTGTTCCCATAGTGCATTTCTGCTTAGGGAGTGAAAGGCAGGCATGCATGCAACCAAAGTGAAGGTAGCTCTTCCCAGTTAATGGAAAAACCCCATGTGCAGACTTGTCAGGGTAACACAGTATGTGAATTCCCATCTCTTGAAGGGGTATGAGAGGTGCATTGGAGGTATAGATGCATGGATGTACATTTTCTACATTTTTACAACATTAGAAATTGGTAAAACATAAGTTACATCCTTAATTATATTACATAGGTTACATCTTTAATTACATTACATACAGAAAAACGGTTAATAACCTAAAAATCTGAATGTGGGGGAAAAAATTAAGAAAAAGAAAAGAGAAATAAAAGGAAATTTGGGAAACTCTACACATGGCGTGAGAGGAAACGAGTAAAAATTAGAGATGGACATAGGATTCTGTGCTGCTGGGGAGAGAGTAGAAACTTGTTAAAAAAATTCTAAATCCTAGAATGGTTTGGTAGACTGAGGCTGTGCAGAGGTAGCCGTACCTCTAGAATAAGCAAGAATGAAGTTGATAGGTAGTGAAGGGATTATTATAGAACTCAAGTGGGAGGGGTCCTACGCCTCTAGCTTGGACCAATCCCTGCCGGCCCAAGACCAAGATGTCACTTGAGTGATGGAAAATTTTAAACTTATTCAGCGGTGCTGCCCAGAGACAGTGTAACAGCATAGTAAGAACTCAAGGTTGATATGAAGTAAAATGCCACAGTAACATAAGGACACACGTCGGCCAGTTGTCATTTGTGTTTGGGTACTTGTAAGGGTTGTATAGCCTGATGGTATACTTACTATGTTGTGAACTACATTAGCTAATCATTGTTTCATCTTTGTAAATTAGATGGAGGGTGTGGAGGCGGCAGCAGTGGCTCAGGAGGCCCAGGCATTGGCTTTACCCCCAGAGCTGATGTCCGAGGGACAGAGCACTACCCTAATGGTTACGGGCCTGACCCCAGAGGAACTAGCTGTGACAGCGGCCGCAGAGGCCGCTGCCCAGGCTGCGGCCAGTGAAGAGGCTCAGGCTCTGGCCATCCAGGCCGTGCTGCAGGCTGCCCAGCAAGCTGTCATGAGTGAGTGTTGCAGTCAGGTTCATGATCACCTTTTCAACTACTTCTGTTATGGACGGAACTCTTACAATGTATTTTTCCATTTCATTTGATTATTTTTGACAGTTATTTTTTATTTCTTCATGCGCAATATATTAAGCCTGAATAGTATTTTTAAAGCCTGAAGTAGGTCTGATGCACTGCAGATTTCACTGTCCCTCTCTAGAGAGTAAAACACGCAATGCCACCCAAAGTATTGATGTAGCATATGGTCACCAATTAATCTTTGTAGTTCATACCAGATTGAGGCACAGAATGTCTGTTTTCTCAAAAAATATCTCAAACTCATGTCATTGCAAAATGTTTGTAGTAAATAAAGGATAAATAAATGCTGTCCTGTGTCCGGCTGCCTTGCAGGTACAGGTGAGGGTGACACCAGTGCAGACGATCAGCAAAGTCAGACCATCCCCATTGTCCTGACACAGCAGGAGCTGGCCGCTCTGGTGCAGCAACAGCAACAGCTTCAGGAGGCTCAGGCTGAGCAGCCACAGGAAGGACCCGTTACGGCTGCGTTGCCTACTGAAGGCCTGGCACCTGCGGACAGCCTCAACGACCCCACATCGGAGAGCAATGGGCATGGTGAGATGGCTGCTGCAGTGTCCAGCACAGTGGGACTGCTGCCCAGCACCGTGGCTGAGAGTGAGTTTCACTTTTTACAGATGTGCTCTCTGAAACTGGAGGGTCTTCCATGCTCAGCTTTCTTTGCACTCATATACAAGTATAGCAGCAGATCAACAGTTAATGTATATCATCACTAACAAAACCTCATCTCCAAAACAACGATTTAAAAGATAATGAATCAAATTTTATTCAAAGTACACTATTTGGCCATCTGGACACCTGACCATCACCCCTACATTGTAGGACATCCCATTCTAAAAACAAGGGCTTTAATGTGGAGTTGGCCTTGCCTTTTCAGCTGTAACAGCCTCCACTCTTTACACAACATTGTGGAGTGTGTCTGTGGGAATTTGTTCCCATTCAGCATAAAGAGCATTGTGAGGGCAAACACTGATGTTGACTATGAAGGCCTGGCTCATGGTCTGTGGTCAAAGAGGTGTTCAGTGGGGTTGAGGTCAGAGCTCTGCAGAGGCCATTGGAGTTCCTCCACACCAGACCAGTCAAACTTTATGGGCCACGCTTTGTGCACAGGAACACAGCCATGTCGGAAGAAAGGCCTTCCCCAAACTGTTGCCACGAAGTTGGAAGCATATAACCATCTGAAGTGCCTTTGTATGCTGTTGCATTAACATTAACCTTCACTGGAGCTAAAGGGCCTAGCCCAAACCCTTAACAGGGTTAACTGTAATATTAACCGTTTAGTGAAAATCTTTAATAAAACTCTCATAAATATGATACTGAGTGACCCAACATTTCTTGGGAGAACTACTTCGCCTGTCATTGTTTTAAACGTTACTGCAAACGCATGCATTCATGAGCGTCTTCTGCTGCAGCTTTGCTAATAGTGTTCCCTGCTGGAGAAACTTCATACTGCAAGTGTTTCAAAAGCCATGACCTCGCACTTCCCACATTAAAAACAAGACGTTTTCTGTCATTATAGCAGCATTTTTATAATTCAGTTAATCACTGTGGAGTTAACCAGAGTCGTTAAAGGCCCCGTTATCACTGTGTTTTAAGAGTAAAGATGAATAAAACATTGTGTACATTTTATTTAATATTATTTATCTTTTTTACTGAGAACACCAGCTGTAGATGAGGATCAGAGTAACTTTATCTCCAAGTCAGAGTTGACTTAGCTACTCTATGCCAGCATTTGTCATTTTAGCTTGTTTTATTTATTTATTTATTTATTTATCCCCCCCCCTTCAGTCAAGCAAGTCACTTTGAGGTCAGCTGAAGTCCCAGAGCATGTCAGCATTCATTTTTTTTTTGCGGAATCAAAAATTAAGGGGAATCATTATAGTGTGTAGCAGAGAGAAATAGCAACTGCCTGTTTTATTTCCTTTTACCAAAACGGTGATGATCGCCTTTTACACATTGTAATTTTCTATCATCGATGATATCATGTTACATTGCTGATGTTGCTTCCAGAGGCAGTTTGGAACTCTGTAGTGAGTGATGCAACAGAGAATTGGCGTTTTTTATACACTTTTGCACTCTGCAGCCCCACTCTGTGAGTCTGCATTGTCTGCCGCTTCCTAGCAGAACTCTTGTTGCTCCTAGCTGCTTTTGGCAATATAATTCAATTTTGATGATTGATGATTTCTGTTGGTCCTTTTGTTGTAGAATGCTTCTTTAATGTAAAGGGCAGCTGTTGTATCGATTAGAAAGTTAGAAGTTTGGGTAACACTTTACTATAGGGTATTGGTGATAAAGCTACATTACACCTACATGAGCTTGTCATGATAACTGACATAACCCTACATAACTGTCAGCTAAAGTAGCCTTAATAAAAGATGATGCCTGTTGTAGTAAGCATTTACAAACAGTTACGTAGAGTTATGTCAGTTGTCATGACAAGCTTATGTAGGTGTCGTAGCCTAATGAACAGCAACCTACAGTAAAGTGTTACCGAAGTTTGTATAGTGGTTAAAATATGAAATGTTTTGTTTGGTGTTAAAGGGCTATACAAATGAAGTTAACTACTCAGTCCGGTCAAACTTACTGTTAATTGTCTGAATTTTTTTAATTAAATTTCTTCTTTTTTTAAAACTACTTTGAGATTTTAATTCTGTTTTTCCCCTTTTTCCCTTGTGTAGCTTTGGCTCCTTCCAGCACTCTGGCCCCTGCTGTAATCGCCACCCAAGCTAACCTACAGGCAGCAGCCACATTAACTGAGGTAGCCAACGGCATTGAAGCAGGGGTGAGGTTTTTTCACAGGAAAACTGTTGTAAATAATTGTTAATGTGTTTTAGATTTTGCCTACAACAGATCATCTTTGCTTGTACAGAAACAGAACCCTCCTACTGCCACAGTTAAACCCCCAGTGAAGAAAGAAAACCAATGGTTTGATGTTGGCATTGTGAAAGTGACGAACATGGTCGTAACACATTTTTACATGCCAGCTGATGATTCACCTTATATTGATGTAAGCCACTAAATATACTATTCAGACATGTACAAATTTAGTACATAGAAAAGCGCCCTAATGGCGTCTGTACTTTACAGGATGATTCTGGAACAATCCCTGACTACAGCCAGATGAAGAAAGTGGAACTGCAGCCAGGAACAGCATACAAGTTCCGTGTGGCTGGCATCAACACGTGTGGCCGTGGAGCTTTCTCTGAGATATCAGCATTCAAGACCTGTTTACCAGGCTTCCCTGGGGCTCCGTGTGCCATCAAGATTAGCAAGGTACTTTCCTGACTTGGCAGATAAAGCAAAACATTTTTTCTTCACAGATTTAGGATGCCTAGGAATCCAGCTTGCACTTTTTCGTGCTGTTCAATTGTATTCGCTTTTATTATTTATTTATTTTTTTACATTTAAATCTTATTTAGAGTGGCTTGTAAAATATGCCAGCAGCGGAAGCCAGACCGATACAAAGTTCATGGATCTGCAAGAATCTGGGACCTAAAAGACAAGAACCCTGTCTTAGCTTGGTCTAGTTAAATAAATAAGGGAAAGAAAAATGTCTTTCTGTAAAGCTAAGCAGAATAGCTAGCTTGTAACTTTTCCCCCCAACAAGCTCTACTTTACAAAGTACAACATTGATAAATTTAAAATAACACCCTGTCCATTATGGACATTTCTTTTGGTGTCTGTTAATCTCAAGCTCAGCTAGTCTTGGCAGTAAGCAGTGAAAAGCTGAAATTGTGGATCCTTGGAACTGTGTGTAGTTCGTTTGTTTCAGCAGAAGTGCACCTGTTTTATGCCTCTCTTCGGATGTACTTGTTTTAAATAAAACACTGTATTTCAGATTTTTCTTGTACATTGGCCAAAGATTTAGTGTGCTAACTTAATCTGTTTGGCCTGATACGTTAACAGACCTGTAAAAATAAAAAATCATTTATTTTCTTTTTTCAGAGCCCAGATGGAGCCCACCTAACCTGGGAGCCACCGTCGGTCACTTCAGGGAAGATTATCGAGTATTCTGTGTATTTGGCCATTCAAAGCAGCCAAACAACGGAGGCTAAAGCATCTGCTCCAGCTCAGCTGGCCTTCATGCGTGTTTACTGTGGCCCAAACCCATCATGCCTGGTTCAGTCGTCCAGCCTGTCCAATGCTCACATAGACTACACCACCAAACCAGCCATCATCTTCCGCATCGCCGCCCGCAACGAGAAGGGCTATGGCCCGGCCACACAAGTGCGATGGTTACAAGGTGGGCAGTTTAGGGATTGTAATTAGACAGGGTTTTACTGTGGAAATTGTGTTTTTAAAACATGTTAATTTGAGCTGCAACTGTTGCATGGGGGGGGATTTTTAAATTTTTTATTAAGTATTATTTTCCAGGAGGGCTTTGGGAGGAGGAGTCTGTAGTGCTCTATAATGGTGTGATACACACAGCCATTCTGACAGATTGCAATATGCTACAGGAGGTGAATTCTGGATTATGTTGTTTGTTTCACCATAAAAGAAAGCCTGTAGCACAAAATGAATTTTGATGTTGCTGGCAAAGGGACAGAAGCTGATGAAGGCAGAATTGTTAAATTAAATCAATTAATTGAATATTTCTCAATTACATAATTATTGGTTGCAGCTCTCATATTAAATGCGCATTGTTTCTGAAAGCTTTGGGTGTCTTTTGTAGAGTCGGGCAAAGATGCTGCTGCCAAGTCTGCCCCAAAAAGAGCTATGTCCTCACCAGATGTGTAAGTCATCAACCGTTAACGAATATTTACTAGGATTTTTTTCCCTCCTAGAAAATTAGAATTTCATTGTTTACATGCAACTTAAGTAAATTATGAATTACCAGATCTGTCTTATTTAATTGCAGTAAAGGGACTGGTCTGAAGAAAGCCAGGATGGATCAGTAAAGGTGAAAATCACCTCTCTCCCTCCAAGTTCCCCCTCAAACTAGGATAGCCCCATTCCTCCAAACTCTGCTGCACATCCACTGGTGTCTAGACATGTATATCAGCAGCACAACATCAGAGCAAAAAGAAACCGTTCAAGCAATGACAAACAACTGCTAGGAAAAATGTTTTTTTTTTTTTTGGTTTATTCCTTTTTTTTGGAGCAAATGGAACAAAAACAAGCACATTTCACTGTTTTTTGGAAGGAAAAAATATGCTTTTTTTTCATGGTTAAGTCTTCCTTTATGCTCTTCTTGTTTCTTTACATGTCTTTGCTTCTGTTTTCTCACAAAATCAGTTTAATGTAACAAATGGACTGTTATACTGTCAGCTTGCCTCAGCTAGAGTGCTTTTTTTGTGGGTGTGTGAGAAATTAGGAAATTAAATTGATCAAATGGACACTGGGTGGGGAATCTGAAGAGGAAGAGTTGGGGGGGAAGTGAAGCACTTGTCCTTAGATAAAGGGAGGATGTTTTTTCCTTGTCGAAAGAAAACAGATGAGTAACAGACTGCAATCCTGTGAAAATGTTGCATTGCTGAGAAGATTGGAGCGGAGACAAGGAAAGAAACTTTTACTAGCGGGACAGAGACTTTGCTGAGACTGAGACCTGCTATGTGTATATGGAAAAATTGGAGAAGGAAAAAATCCTCCCAAAAAAATTAGAAAGTACTGATGCAGATAACCTTTGTGTAGTTTATTTTTGTATTTTTAAAGCTTTTTCCTGCTTGTTAATGTGTGTGTCTGTGTACAATTTTTTTTAAACTTGCGTTAAAACTCACCCCCCCTTCCTTTTTCGGTCGTCCCAGTAGTTCTGAAGTGTTTGTGGGATGAGTTTGTAATTGAGCCGTACTGGATTTGAGCAGTGTGCCTGTGTGTAACACTGAGTGTCGTTTTTAGCTGAATTACGACAGAAAGCCTTTCACATACAGGCAGGGAAATTGGTGTTATGTTTACTTCATATTTTTTATGATTGTTTCAATCTGTATTTGTATGCCAAACCTGGACATGTAACAAGAACCATTAAATCAATTTTCCCTTGTATCGCCCCTTTTTCTCCACTTCCTGTTAAAGTGCTGTATTGTTTGTGGTGTGTGTTGTTTTCTTTTTTTTTCTTTCTTCTCCCCCCCCATGGCTTTTTTTTTGTTTTGTTTTTTTAAAGAATGTTCCAGAACATTGATTTGTAGATTTTTGTGCCCTAGATCGTGAAGGAAAATGTCCATGTGAAACTTAATAAATTTTACTTTCATTCTTTTCGACTTTGTAATTTACATATGAATGAATGGTATGCAGAGTAAATGTTATTGTGTACTTGTTTTGGCTTTAACACAGAGGGATATCTTCATGAGAAGGATTGAATTTGTTGAGGTGTTCTTTGTGTCTTTGTAGGGTGTTTTGTTTTGTTTTGTTTTGTTTAATTCATTCCTGGTTAAACCAAGTATGAATTCAATTGTAATATAGTTCATTCATACCACAAGAGAAAATGATTACATCTTGGCCTTTTATATATTACTTGTAACAAAGTTTTTACATGTTGGTCATCTCCTGATTGCCTTTTTGTGTCTTGACTTATAAAAGAAACAAAATATATACTGTCTCCCTGATTAATCGTAATGACTGTTTCTTTGAAGTATGACTCATTTAGCTGGCCTGATTCAAACGGTGGGTCCATTCATGGTGTCCTTTTGAATCCTACATGGATAACCAGTTCATTTCAGGGTAGCTGTACTAAATGGATTGAATAAAATGTTTTTAGAAAAATTAAAGAATATCATCCATGTCTCATAATTCCTGGCAATCCGTTGAAAATGTAAACCATAACTATCCAAGTACAACTTTTTTAATTAGTTTAAGATAAAACAATAATTTTGTGTAATTTTATTTTATCACATGTATTCCTTTGAGGTCAAATATCTTAAAATATAGATTATCTCATTTGTCTTATAATGGATTTACATGGAAAATGTAAGCATTTAATGAATTTGTGCAACCTTGCCTAATTTCAAAGTAACGTCCCATGGTTTTAACTGCTTGCTTGCTTACTGATTGAGCTAAGTTGAAATACTGGGTACCAATGCAACAGTGAGAGTAATCTTTGTTACTTCACTTTTTCTCCATTTTGATTAAACCTATGAATTACTAACTTCCTGCATATGATATTTGAAATTTCACCATAATTCAAAATGGCTTCACATCTAAAAATCTAAAAAAAAAATCAGAGGCCTTTATGAACCTATATTTTGTCAGATAAGATTAATCCTATTTTATGTACTGTGGCTCCTTCATTGTTTAGTCATTTTTGAACACAATGTACTTGTCTGGCAAGCACAATATAAAGAAAAAGAAGTATAAAAAGATAAACTTTGGATTTCTAGATTTACCTTCATAATGCACTAGAAATCCTGTATCCTGCTTTTTGAATAATGTTCTTCCATTCTTGTTGGGGGATATTTTATATATCTCTTGCTGGCCTATGCTACATATGGCATAAAACCTAAATTTTGCAGAGAATGCTTTTAAGATGAAGTTGTAAAGATGAAAGATATGTTGTTCTAACATAAAAGTACACACTCCAATCAGTTAACTACTTGTGGGAATTTCTAATCAGGAAGTTAGCTGATTGGAAGGCTGTTTGTAGTGTTGTATTTATACTCTGTTACTGTTTTAGCCCAGGTCAGTCATCCTGTAAGTAGATAAACCTAATATTTAATATGCAATTTAGACTCTGGTTAAAATCATCACTAAAAAAATATTTACCATTATTATTTTTTCTTTTTTCCATGGAAACCGATAATACAATGTGGCAGACCCTAGGTGAGTTTGCAAGGAAAACTGCATAAGAAAACAAGGAGAGGGAAAAGAAACAAAAAAGTATTACAAATTTCAGAGATTGTTGTTTAAAAAGCAAAAAAGTTTGTCCATATTTGTTGGGTGATCACACATCTAGCCATCCATTAAAATGAAAATCCATAAAGCCATCCATTCCAGGGTTGTTTGTCTAAAACCAGCGGCACTTCTTCAGCATGTACATTTTGATGCACTGTGATTTGATTGTTCTTCTGGCTCTCTGTTCATAATTTGGATGTTCTCTCTATTATCCATGACACTACATTTAAACTGCAGGGAGAGAAGAGTTAAACAAATTACAAGACAATTTTGATAAATAAATTGAAGCAAATAATGTTCTTTGAAGAGAATCACAAATTAACAATGATTTTTAATTTTTAAAGTAGATTTAAATGTTTCATCTGAATGTAAAAAGATATTGGAAACACTCACATATTGGAGTGCTGCTCTTGCTGCACTTTTGAAGGCCATATCAACATCTATATCCCTCTTTAGCGCTGCACTCAAAATACTCAGCCCCCAAATTCTCACACCACTGATGCACATGCTCAGGAGAAACCTGTGAACAAATGTGACTGCTTACATGTCAAGAGTACGATAGCTTTACTCAAGTCAAGTCAAGAGTACGATAGCTTTAAAAATTATACATTGGATTACATACTTTTTTCAGACTTTATACTTTTTTTTAAGGATTACTGTTTTTCAGAATTACATTTTTGATTTTGGAACTTAAATAAATCAGCCTATTAATTCTCAGTGTACTGAGTGTGTCTGTAAGCTGCTGTCTGGACTAATTTTCTTTTTTAGCTTTAATTGATCTTATTTATATTGTTAAAAAATGTGTTGAGGTTTATGCCTCCCTGGTGCATCCTTAACCAGGACAAATGACCCAAGTTGCATATGCTAGAAGATTTTGATGTTCAGAAACATTTACACATTTTAATTGATCAAGTGGAATAATTTTAATTCACTAACCAATTATTCATCATGGTGGTCATGGTTTGTAAAAGGCAGCCTTTTTCTTCCCTTCAGTTTAGGCCTCCAACAGCTTTCCAAGGGTTACTATCCATTAAGAACTTTAGCATATGGCTGAAACCGTTGGCTAAATATTTTTTACTCTAACTCCATCTTTATGGAAGTAATAATTTTTTGAAGCAAATGTTTTCTGTTATATGGTGAAGTTTGCCTGTTGCTCAAAAATGTAAAAATCAAAAACATAATGCAAATGCTGATGTAAGTGTAAACACTACTAAACGGAGTCTGGAACAGATCGTATTATCTCATCTGTGAAGCTGCTGTCAGTTAAGGAATCAATAAAAGGGAAAACTAAAGTGCAGCATATATGAACCTTCTCCGTTGATTTACACTGACCAGACCCTGAACCGACCTGGAGCTCAGAGTATGTACTTTATCTGTTTTTGAGTGATCTAACCTCTCGGGTGCCCAAGTCAGTCTTATTGCCCACCACAATAAAGGGAAAGATCGTGAGGTCAGCAGGGGCGGCCTGCAGCAGGAACTCTGTGTGCCAGCCATCCAGCGCGCTGAAGGAGGCCGCCGAGCTCAGGTCAAACACGAGGAGGCAGCAGTGAGCACCGCGATACAGAGTAGAGCCTAAAGAATGAAAGCGCTCCGAACCAGCCGTGTCCCACACCTCCGAGAAAAACACTCACAGACATCACACAGAGACATCACACACAAGCATGATACAACACACTATGCAAAATGTGTCATTTCGAGAAAAGAGGGATGCATCGATACCAAAACTGGTGTACGATTTAGATTTAGGCTGATGGACTAAGGTTTTCTACTTTCATGTTTAAATGTTTGTCTTCATTCGGCCTCCTTTTTAGGTCAAAAGTGATCCAACCACTATATGTCGAATCCAACACTTAAACTGGTATAGATACCGTGTGCGTTTTTTCTCGTACTCCTATTTCTGCTCAAAAAAATATCACCGTTTCTAGCATCCAATGCCTAATACCATGTGACATAAGCCGAGTGTATGCTGCCACGCTAATGAACACAGGGCTCAAGCTGCGGGCGAAGGAAGGTCTGCTCACACAGAGAGGTGTTACTGATCTCGTGGCAGGCGCCAAAGTCACCGGTCCCTTTAAACATTCCACATTTGCAGATTCCTGCCAGAAATACCCAATCACAACCGCTTCCCCAATACAGGTGGAGATATGTAGGCTAGCGAAAACATAGGCGAAAATGTCGACATTTCCTACCAAAGTCATATACCGACTTTACTCTGTTTGACTGAGTAGAAACACTATCAAACTGTAAGTGAGACATGATTGGCCTCTCTGATGGTTCGATCATGGTGCACAGCTTTTGGAAGGCTGCTTCGACATTCTGAGATGCCTAATCCAAAACTTGTTTGAAAAATGTCTCTGCACAGTGTGCTCCCAGAACTCTGGTGCGTTTGTGTTCCCAGATGCAAGGTGGACACCGTCTGGGTGGCACGGAGCTGCAAACAATCATAAAAAGATGACAAATGGCTGTAAAGATAATTCTAATTAAAGCAAAAACCGAGTTAAATCTCTATCTTGCTTGTTTTGGTGCAACCCCTAATCATGGCAGCCTACAAAATCTAATCAAAGTTTCTTCCCGTCGGAACAAAACCTTGTATCTCATTTTTTTTTTTTTTTTGCCGTTTTTCAGTTTTGACATCATTTGAAAATGCCTGAATGGATGAATGGAGCAAAAGAAACAGCCAAAAATGACTTGGAAAAATGTCTGGTTCCATTGGCTTGCATTAAAAGTAAAATATGTGTTATCCTCCTTCTGTAAAGTTATCATTTTTGAGATACGAGGTTTTGGTCCGGGCGGCACGGTGGCGCAGTGGGTAGCGCTGTCGCCTCACAGCAAGAGTGGCCTGGGTTCGATTCCCGGCTGGGTGACCAGGGTCGTTTCTGTGTGGAGTTTGCATGTTCTCCCCGTGTCTGCGTGGGTTTCCTCCGGGTACTCCGGTTTCCTCCCACAGTCCAAAAACATGCAGTCAGGTCAATTGGCCGTGCTAAATTGCCCCTAGGTGTGAGTGTGTGTGTGGATGTATATGTCTGTTTGTCTGCCCTGCGATGGCGACCTGTCCAGGGTGTATCCTGCCTGCCGCCCGATGACAGCTGGGATAGGCTCCAGCACCCCACCGCGACCCAGAAGGATAAGCGATTTAGATGATGGATAGAGGGATGGTTTTGGTCCGACAACAGCGAAATGCTTCAACAAGTGTGGGGTTTGAGAGGTGTCATGCACTTGTTAATAGACAGGACTGTTTGTAGGGGCTGCATCTCACGTAGCATGGTCGGAGCGTTTTTCTACAGCATGAGCGTATAAATCGTTGGCTTTGTACTTAATAGTCTATTCGAACGTACAGCGCAAGTCACCAAGAACAAGATTTCTAAAATCGCATAGTGTATGCCTGACATTAGAGGACATTCAACGAGAGCTCAACCCATATAGAATGAAATGCATTCCAAATGTATTTATCAAATATATTTTTGCAACGCATGAAAATGACCAGAAAAGGTATTTGTTAAATATATTTTAAAAATGCGTTTATTTGTATTTGTTATATTTTTTCAACTGTATGTAGTTTAACAAAGGTTAAATGTCCTGACTTCTGTGTTTTGCATTGTACTTTGCATTGACCATTGTATGTGGCAAAACAGCACTCACACAAAATATATTTCAAATAAACAAAATATCAAATCATCAAACTGCATTTTCACAGTGTATCAATACCTACAACACTTTTTTGCCATATTAAAGGATAATTTATTAGTACTTAAAATTTGGATACTGGAATACATATTCATCGGAATGGATTTTAGCATGGATTGCAATGCAATATTTCCAGCCATACAAAAGATTCCAAAAAGACATAAAAATTCACAAGTGAGCCCTTCGGATACATTATACTTGGATGTGATTATTGCGGTCACTGTGCTACAGAGACTGTTGTTGAAAGAGACAGTTGAGGAGCATCAAAACTATGAAACATACTTTTCTTACAGCGGTACATATGCACTTTTCTGATGTAAGTTAGAACAAAAGCCACTCTTGTCCACTGCAGTGCTACTTGATCCAAGGTATCTAGCATAGTTAGCTAATGCACATCATTTAAAATCAGATAGATGTTAATGATTCAACTGTTAAGACACATTGCACTCGTTACCACTAACAACTACTTAATGCTAAGTAGGTTATTCAGTATGTTATCAGACCCGGTATCTGCAATGACTGAAAAATATGTATGCGTATTTGTACTCTGAAAAAATGGTACTGATGCATCCCTAATTAACATGGTTAATGATATATGAAATGTATGTTTATCATTTTAGAGTACAGAAATTTTTTACTTGTCTCAGACAGACATAATCTAAATAAAACGTGAATTAACATCAAACCTTTGCCATGCTCAGATGTATATCTGTTTCCACATTAATGCATATATTAATTGAATATAAATAGGTTTATTTTAAAAAGCATATATTTTTTTAATGTGTCCTTGAGTTTTGCCTTCCACTTTGTGCTTTCAGCTTAGTTTTGAGTTAAAAACAAGTTACTGTCATTAAATAACATGATGAAGGCTAAAAGACATTAAACCTTTAGAGGAGGCAAAAGCTGGTCAATTTTGTGTTTTTTCAATACTGAGAATTTGTTTTCTGCATCCTTAACAGGGTGCATCCAGCATAACTTCCACCCTATCACACAAAATAAAGGGTTTTAAAAATTATATTTGCAACATTTAAACAAATTATTCACAAAATATTTGTCACAACTTCACTATAATGAGGTTAGACTTATAATGGACATTATTTTGGCACAAAAATTTAAATACTTGCTGAGGTCGAAAAATGTGTGCATATATATGTTTTTGTAAAAGCAATATATAATTAAAACTAGAGGGTAGAAAAAGTATGATTTCTTGACATAAAAAATAAAATTAGCTCAACCATGTAGCACTGATCTTATGGAATGACTCAAATACATAAAACATAATCACAGTTCTCATACTATCCGGTTAACCCCTTAAACTGCAGGCTTGTTATTCGGTTCACTTGGTAAAAAATGAAATGTACATAACTTTCCTATTACCCCAAATCATGATCACTGGGGGCATGCATGGGATGGAGCATTTTTTAAACTAGTGAAGCTATTCCTGTCTCTTTTTGATTGAGTTCAGGGCTTGCTTTTGGAACAAAAAAATCTCCACTCTTATCAAAGCAACAGTGGCAGAACCACTCAAAACCTACATTTATGTTGATTTCCTGCAACGTTTCCCCACATTGTGTAGAGATGCACATAAACAGTAGCCAGAACATCTAAAAAAAAAAGGTTTTTGTTCGTTATCTGTGTCAAGTACTACAAACTATTCATTGGAGTTTGTCAGATTTACAAGTGATTTCAATTTTTTTTACATGTTAATGTGGCTTTCAGTTTTGAGTTTATAGATCTGGTCCCTTTCAAAGAGTTTGGAGCCTGGTCTTATATGACTGGAAATCCCTGCCCGGGGGCGTTGCCAGAATGGCCGCTGGGGGAGTAGCGTGCTACTTTTCGTAGCTAACTACAAATTTTTGTAGCTAATAGCTGTAGCTGCTACAGTTTTATGAAATGTAGCTAATAGCTGTAGCGCCTACAAAGTTATGTGTAGCTATAGCGAAAAATTTCGCTACAATTTAGCTACAGTCTTCAGGCAATCCGCACAAAATCTGAACTACAGAACGGTCGTTAACTGGGTTTGTGGCGATTGCGCAATCCTGACTGAGCTGCGGACAGTTCGAGCAAACGGGAACACGCTCGCCCCACGCGCTGATCACCCCTTACTAGGAGGCTTAGCTCAGGGGTCGGCAACTGAAATGTTAAGAAGAGCCATTTTGTCCTTGTAACAAAAATGAAACCACCTTGGGAGCCACAAAATTGTCCAATTCACCATCTTGGCTGTAAATATGTCTCAGTATGTGCTGCTGATGTACAAGTACAGGTTAAAAATATAAACGTAAACGCAGATTTACTTTGCTCTGCTGTAAGCAGCTGTAGCCGCTTTTCTCCCATCTCAGGAAACCTTTCCGCGAGTTTCTTGTAAGTGTCTCTCGGTGTTCGACTTTTTACGAGGATGAAGTCGCTTCTCATTATCCAGCTTCTTGTTCGAATTTTTCCGTTTCACCTTAAATGGTGCCTGAGGCGCCAGATTGTACTGCTGCGCCATTTAAGGTGGAACGGAAAAATTCGAACAAGACACTGGTGAATGAGAAACTCACTTCAGCTTCGCGACTTGTTGCAGATTAAACGTACGAAGAAACCAGCTGAGTGCTTATAACTGCAGATAAGTCAATTTATCTCCAAATTATCGATGTTTGTCTTAAATCTTTCTCTTTGCCATTTTGTTATCTGCGTTGCTATGTGTCCAGCAGTCTGCGCGTCAGTCTTTAGCGTTAAAGGGTGAATTAGCAGTTATGCGTGAACTCCAGCGTTTAAGACCTTTTATTGTGAAAACTGTGTTAGAACTGTGTGTGATTTTACAGCAAAGGAGGATTATGTTATCATACCTAAAATCTAGTTCTGCTGTGGAGCCGCAACAGCTCTGCAGCAGTGGAGATTTTATTCGGCTGAGCAGGCCTGATTCTCACCCCAAACAGAGCCAGGGTCACTGATGAGAATTTTGAGGCTAAAGTGTTGCTGAAGTTTAAAGGACTCTGAATGTCATGTTTGTACATATCTTGCTGAAATGTTTAAATTGGAGCAGTATTATTTTAACAGTTGACAATACTTTGCACAAAATTGTTTGCTTTGTATTTTTTATTGTTATTTTTGTTGATTTTTGTTAGGAAAAACCTGGAATGATTGACTTTGCCTTTACTTAGTCTAAATTTTTGTTGGATGTCACACCTTTGGTTGTGTAAGTTTGATTGTACACTTAAACTTACTTTTTGGTGATCTTTTTGTATATTTGCAGCTTTTCAATTGTATATTTCTTTCTGGCACATGATTAAATGTGTCTTGTTCACACTTTCAGTTGGAGATTGTGGAATCTTCATGTGGAGATTCACAAACATTCTGACAATCGTGCTTTGAAAGTAGCTAAAAAGTAGCGCACTACTTTTCAAAAAGTAGCTAAATTGTAGCTAGCTATAAATTTTGGGAAAGTAGCTATAAAGTAGCTATCTACTAATTTTTCTTTAACTCTGCCGCTGAGTTAAGAGACTTTCATATAAGGACTTTAATACAGATACATGTTTGAATAGCTGGAAACCTAAAGACCAACAAGCAGGTACAATAAGCTACAGCAGAGAGAAGGAGAGAAAGAAGAGAGTGAGTGTATGGTGTGTTTGATGCATAGGTTACATCCATGCCCTTAAGATTCTCAGTTCAAAGGCAGGTGAACCTGCATGAAATATCATGACAAGACAGACAAGGAGCACAAGTACAGAGGGAAGGGGACATAGCAAGAGAGTAGCGGGTTGAAAAACTGGAGTGCTGAGTTCCCTATAGAACTGCAGTGAAACTTCTTAATACATCCAGCATCTATCGGTTCATTAGACACTATTCTTCTATTTTTGGATTCTTTTGGGGGAAAATAAGATGCTAATACTCCAATTACAAATCCATCAAAAAATACTGCTTTTTCCTGTCCAAAACTACATAAATACAATTTACTGCTTTTGTGTGATTGCATGATTATAAATATTGTGGTTAGTTTCAGCTTCTGGTGGGTGGGTTTTGAGAACATTTTGGGCTGGAGATTTTTGCTGGACCTGGCAGCCCTGGTTAGAAATATTGCCATAGCTAATTGGTAAATTAGCCTATGTAGCCCATGCCAGCAAGTAACCTTCTAACTCAAAGTCTTGCTCCTGAATAATTTACAAAAGCTTGTCTACATGCTCTCTGATATGTGTGACTTGAGACTAGATTGAATAGTATGCATTTTAGCAATTTTTGCCCCACCACTTTTGGAAGTGAATTCAGGCTTCAATATGGCTGCCACTTTTAGCTGTGCTGTTGTGTTGGTGATATAGCTGACATTTTCGTTAGAAGTTTGTTAGTGAAACAGTTTGTTTGAAGAAGATATATGTTGTGGTTACCTAAAGTTTAAAATTGCCAAAAGGTTGAATAACTTACAATCACTCTGTTGATTTGTGTTAGTTGGATAGGAAGCAAATGTTGTTGTGGTAGTAACCTTGACACTTTTTATTTTGGAGAAGCAGTTTTCACTGGCTGGAGAACCTAACCCTAATCCTAACCCCTAACCTTATCCATTTTTATCTTGACAAAGGAATTTTTTAACCTTATTAAAGCCCCTTATTCAAGCCTTGGCCTTCACACATGAAACAGTTTTCCAAAACAGTTTAGTATCGCAAGAGTTAATGTTAGCTACATCATCAGTATTTTAGCTAACTTAAATAACTTGCTAACTTCTGCCCAAGCTGAGTCTTGCTCAGGCTACAAATTCACTAGTAAACTGAATGTTCTTACCTGTAGAATCACAGTGTTTTTATCCTCAGTCACTTCTTTAGTCAGGAAATCCACCCCAATGGTAGCACGGTACATGTTAGTGAACCGATGATCCACAAACCGTGTCATCATCGAAGATTTTCCCACCCTTTGTGTATATAAAAATACACTGGAATTCAGTATTGAACCAAGACTCTTGGAACTTCAGTTCAGGTTATAAATATCAGAACTAAGTAAAAAAAAAAAAACAAGAAAAAACTGTATCAAGCATCACAAGTTGCTGAGTCTGTGCCAAATGCATACTTTTAAACCTAGCACCCTCGAGGTCTCTTCTCCTCTACTTCCACATGTTGTTGACGTCACCAGCTATGAATTGGGAGGAGGATCTACAGGGCTTAGGTCATCTTTTGGGACAGGCCTCTACAAAAACTATTATGGTTAGGCTGCCGTTCACAGTCAGTGATCTATTTAGGTCTTCCAGAAGGCCTAGAACAGGGGTCTCAAACCTTCCAGGCTGCAGCTCTGCAGGGATTCCCTCTTCTAACACTCCAAATTTAACACTTGAAGCCCTTGTAAACAGCTGATCAGTTGAATCAGGAGTGTTTAACAAGGATAAAGGCTAAACTCTGCAGAGACGTTGTTTTGTTTATTGTTGTGGTAAATTAGCCTATGTATTGTCATTGTTTATGATGTTTATTGTCACAAAATTGCTCCCACCCATTGGAAATCAAAACAGGATTAGTTGATTCCACTGTCACTTCCTAAATATGTTGATGGTGAATTGAATGTGTAAGGCCTTCTGTCCAGCACCTGAAGCCCTAACAAATAAAGGAGTTAGCTTGGCTGTACCTACCCAGATGCTATGGAAAAAGATTCCGATTGAATAATTTTCCTTTTGCTGTTTCAAGACACTTTGGTTTCTGCCCAAAACTTAAGAATAAAATAGGACTATTACTACAATACTTGCTGACATTAAATACCGCAAACCTGGTGATTACATAACTAAAATTTTTAGATTCTAGAAATCATTAAAATTTGAAAATTTAACAAATTTGAACATTGAAAGCCCTAAAGGTTTCCTTCAGCCAGTATGGTAATATTGATTTACTTCTGATATTTAAGGTAATTTTTAAGTAATAGTTCATTGAAAAAACACATTTAACTGATTGTTCCCTCACTGCAAATGTGGTCAATCAGACAAGACATGCTTTGTTTCTTAAGTTTGTTTCTTTAGTTTTGAATTGGAGCTACAAAGCTAATGCAGTCAAGTAATGGAAGTACTCCAGCTAGTATCATGCTCATCACATACTTGTCTCAAACCTCATCAACTTGTTAAGTAAACAAATCTAATAGACTGGTTTCTGACACTGTATGATAGTATTTTATATAAAAAGATATGTTGTATGGTTGAAAACACTAGTAGCAGCCCCCTTGAATCCTGGATTTTGTCTGTTGCATGATGCTAATTGGTGGAGTAAACCATAAAGTTTTAATTACTTGTTGGCTACAGTAGCCTCACAGCTCTAGTGCAAAAGTAAACTTTAGACATCAAATATGTCTTGACTAATCAGCTACAAAAATTGTGTGAAATGTTTTGTCGCCTTTAATAGAAACCTTTGAGATTCAACTCATTATCGTTTTTCTGGCAGTGCAATGGCCCTCATAACTCTCATTACCTTGAGTTAGGTGTTAATCTAGTTAATCCATTCTGTAACTTGTCAGAAGCACAATTTAAAGTTACCGTGCCGCCTGTTCACTCACCCAGAGTTTCCAACCAGAACCACCTTCAGATGGGGTGTACTCCACTTGTCCATTTAATAATCAACTGATCAGTAAAGTAGAGACAAAAACATCCAGCCTTACAGAAAGTCCATCCTGTGTAGTAAATCGTTGTTAACAACATGCTTTTGAAATAAATATGCTAGTACCTACAGAAGTGTTATGCTATTGATCCACCGAGAGCCAATGAGCTAATGGTTAACTAAAGATAAAGGTGAAAACCCCACCAAGCCAAACAGGTGTGGAAGAGTCAGTGCAGTTTTGCCCTAGATTTACACTGTGCATACACACCACACACATGGCAAGGTACACTGTAGTCAGGGTTAAGAAGGACGTCTGAGACTTTATTCACACTTTCTTTTTTCAAATCTTTTAAAATCAAAATGGCATACATTTGGGGGTGTGTGAAAAGTTATTAAGCAGAACACACCTGCACTCAAACAGCCACAAGTAGAGATAAACCCACACACTGCACTGCTCACACACTGATGCCTGTTAAAATAAAGGCGCAGTTCCCCTCTCTGACAGAAGATGGGACTAAATCACAAGGCACACATCACTCAGCTCCAACTCTACAAGCTAAAAGAATTAGGAAATACTGTTTGAGTTCTCTTTACAGACAATGTACACTGTATGTCCAAAAGTATGTAGACACCTGCTCATTCTTCTGAAATCAAAGGTTTAAATTAAAAGCTTCTGGAAAGCCTTTACACTAGATGTTGGAACATTGCTGTGAGGCTCTGATTGTATTTGATTAGTACTGACATTTAGTTCTTGATCACAAATGCTAATCCAACTCATCCCAAAGGTATTGGATGGTGCTCCATTACCCCAGAGAATGCTCAGTGATCAGTGATGGGTGGCTTTATATCCCCTAGTCAATGCTTGGCATTGGGCATGGTGTTCTGAGGCTCATGAGCAGCTGCTTCAGAGCATCCCATTCTATCAGCAATGATTTTCAATGGAGATTATATAACCCACAATTTAAGCAATTAACCCTTAAAGTAGTTGTATTCACTGCTTAGAAGGGGTGCTTGGATACCTGGACATAGCGTATGCAGTTGTATGCAGTAGTTTGGGCACCCCTGGTCAACAAATTATATATTTTGTTGATTTTGAATTGAAAAGTAGTAAACACAACCTCTGTAGCAAACAATAAAAAAAAAATCCACAGTTAATACACAGTTACTTTATATTCAATTCAAATCTTAAAAAAATAAAAAGCTAAAAAAAAATAAAATAAGAATAAAAGTTTACAGAAAATTGAGTGAAAACCAATTATTACTGTTAGGAGTGTATCACAGTGAGAAACATCCATTGCATTCTGACTACTGTTAGAAGCCTGTCATAATGATATGTTAGTGTGAATATGAGAAGAGCTCAGTGTATTGTAAGGAAACAATATGATTAATAATTTTAGGCTGTGTGGGCACCAATATCATCGGGAGGGTGAGTGGCATGCAGTTGAGGCTTTCTGCACAGCATTAGACAACAGAAGGCTCCAAGGTGGACAAACTGATCCAGAAGCCAGGGAGCAGGGGCAACTGATCAAGGCAGATGAAGCAACAACATCACAACACACAGCTCTGTTTGTTCAAGTAAGGTAAAGTATTCCAGCATCTTTGCAGTAGTTACACTGTACTCAAGATCTGGCCTAATGATTTCAATTTTATTATTTAAAAAAAAAATCATGAAATCATTGCTGCTGAGGCTGATAATATCCAGAGTTCAGTAACTGTTTGCTTCTTAGTTAATTTAGAAATTGCGCTAAATAATAATCTGGCATTATTTTTATTATCAATTTGTTTCTTATTATCTATTATCAATCAGAGAGGACAGATAAGTTGAGCGTGCCAAAGTAAGTGCCCTTCTGTAGACTATATGACTATCCTCCCAGGCAGATTTAAAGTGGAATTCATATGAGGTTAGGTTATGATCTGAGACTGTGGGAGAATGGCTAAATGAGCTACATTTACACCAAAGTTCAAAATTAAGTCAATAATGTGGCAGCAATAGTGAGTGGTCCTCAATGTATTTTTAGTGAAAAAGTCTAAGATAGATACAATAGATACAAATGCCTTACTTTGGATTCTGTGGTTTGTCAAGGTGAATATTAAAATCTCTAACAGTTATTACTTTGTTCAAGAACATTACTAAACCTGATAGAAAGTTAGCAAATTCCTGTAAGAATTCAAAATACGGTCCTGGTGGCCTGTTGATCGTGATTAGTAAAAATGAATTCTTAGTAGTAGTTCGATCACATATTAAGAAAAAGAATTTCAACAGAGCAATTCAAAAGAAGAGAATATTTAGCCTGCTTTTTAATGCCTAAAGTAGTGGTCGCTATGCCTTCACCTTACCCATTTAACCCCTTAAAATCACAGGCTTATTATATACTAAGGCTTATTGTTCAATAACTGCAGGGACTTTAGGGCAAACTGAACCAAAGAATCAGAATTTTTTTCTGAGCTGACAGGTCTGATGCCTTTTGTTCATCCTTTTTTAAATATGACTTTATGACTTTATCTGTTACATGTAGCATAAATGTGATGTTAAATATCTCACTATTTTGAAAGCAATTGAGTGACTGATCCTGTTTAGATGCAAAGGCCTCTGCAAAACAATCTTAAAATCAAATGCAACATCTGGGGTGATTTTTTTTATAGCTTAAAATATAAAAGCATAAATGTTCTGAGAAGGAGAGTAAAAGGTCCTGCTTGTTTTCTGCTGTCCTTGGTGTGTGCACGTGGGTGTGTGTCAGTGGCGGTTAAAGGGTGTGGAAGTATGAACTGTAAAGTGTGTTTAAAAAAGAGTTCATCTCTCAGTAAGTGAGAAAGGTTGGATTGCTGCTCCACCTGCTCCATATTTCCTTCACTTTCACTCCACAGCCTCAGAATAACCCACAGAAAAAAAAGAAAACAGAAAGAAACACAAACAAATTTACAAAGACATAGATACACACAACTTTAGTCCCAGCTCAAAAGAGCAAAACAAAAATTAAGGATCCCCTTGCTTTCTTTAAAATTTGAAATTTTCTAGGAAGAAAAACTACTGTTAAAAGCATATACTGAAAAACCTTTGGTCCAATATTTTATTATTTTTCTTCTTCGTCTTATTCTTGTTATTATTATTGTTATTGTTATTAAGTTATATAATATTCAGATAAGTATATTATAAAAATAATGGATATAATAAATTATTACTAAAACAAAATGTTGCAGATAATTTTGGAGTTTAAGTAGTTTAAATAAAACTGTAGTTTAAATAAAACTCTGTACATTCACTCGTACTTATCTATGGGATAAGAGCTTCTGAGCAGAATTGATTTCATACATTCCATAAAGCTGAGCTTTACACTGAAGACATACTTAAGTGCATCACACTCCTATACAACTCAACTTATTCACCTAAACCGGTTAACATCTGAAACGAGATTAAAGCTCTAAATGAAGAAGCATTAAATGAAGCCTGTGAGAAGTGTGTAGCATGTGTGAGGAGATGAGGCTCCCGAGAGTGAGTGTGTCAGCTGGCTGTGTGCTTCAGAGATAAGGCTAAGCATTCATAGAAACCTCTTTCTCTGGAACTTGAGGCTCAGTGACCCCCTCCCCCCAGCACTCTGTCTGTCTGTCTTTAACACACACATATTTACACACACACAGGACTTGGAAGAGTTTAGGTGACCTAATGCATTGGATTCAACCTGGGGTCACAAGCCAAATAATTTTGGATGGTCACAGGGTGGAACATTTTGCATGACACATTTTTGAGAATGACAATAAAGATATCACATTGTCAGTGTGAACTACAACAATGTGGCTGTGCGAGTAAAGGCACAAGCACTAAATTAAAAGCAAATAAAAATTTAACTTTTGTGGTTGTACTGTGCAGCAGCACTTAGCCAAGCATGTAACAGCTGACCTAGTAGCTAACTGAGGAGCTAACCAAACAGCTAACCAAACAACTAACTTAACAGCTAAGCTAATCACTAACCTACAGACCGGTGACAAATTAAAGGAAAAACTTGAATAAATGAGTGGAGAAACATAATGCGTGCAGATGCTTCCAGATAAGTGTACTACATAATCCAATTAAGCCAGCAACATTCTATATGCTCTGTGGCATGTGTAAATATGCTGAGCACATTGGACAGCACTCTCCACCATCATCATCATCATAAAACACCTGAGGAAATATCTTCTTGGTACAATGGTTTTCATCCCTACAGTACTGTACCAGAGATTTATAGAATTGATGCCAAGGCCCACTGAGAGTTAGTAGTGTATGACTGTTACCAGGATGGCTTTACCATGAGTTTGCGACATACTTAGCTAACTAATGTAAGCTAACATCATCATGCTGTTAACTAGCTAGCACAGCTAATGCTAATCATGCATTTTTGGAGGTCAGGTCACAAGCAGTAAAGTTAATGACAAAATAGGTTAAAAATAATAAAAAGAGCAATCATGATAAAAGCATCCCAATAAAGAATGAACAACTAAATAATACCTTTCTTTGTTATTATTACCTGCCATTTCTTCTAAATAACATTATCTTAGATAGCTGGTTATTAGCCCCAAAATATTAATGCAGAACCATTTCATTTTAAGAAATAACTTCTACTCCTTGGGGATTTTGGGAAAATTACACATAATTTATCCAGTATCAAACAAGCAGTCAAATCTCACATTAATTACACCACAGAAGTTGGTATCTGGTAAATATGGTATCTGGTAAGGCTAATCTAGATACAATAGTGATAGTTATGTGACAGCTAAACGTTTTTATTGTTTACAGTGGAATGCAACTGACTTAGGAGGGTAACACCGTTCTTCTGTGTGTGTGTGTGTGTGTGTGTGTGTGTGTGTGTGCGCGTGTGCGCGTGGTGTGTGTGTGGCTTTGCAACTCCCACATTGATCTTGATATTTTCTTATCACAATACAGCAGCTCGAACAGACTGAGCCACATCCCTACACACACACACACACACACACACACACACACACACACACACACTCACACACACACACTCTCTCCTCAGGTTAGTTGTGCTTTTTTCACATAAAGTACATGCAGTACTGAAGCAATGTGTTACTGAGGCTGAAATTGGAAACCAAACACACCAACCATAAAAAAACATTTCAGCGTCTCACCAAAATATCACCAGCACTCCACAACAACAGTGTATAATTATAAGTCCTTCTGATTTTCCTGAGAAAATTTATTTTCTATGAACAGCATCTTACATCCCTGAAAACTGTAAATTAACAATGGATGAGGAAACTTATAAATGCTTTGACTACCAAATGACTGGGCCAGTGTCTGCAAGGTGTGTGTGTGCAACCTGAGAGCTCTTACCATATCTCTAACCCGGACTGCAGTGTTTCACTCCATTTGCATTACAGGTCAATGCTGTGCCTCAGAGTGTTTTTGCATTTTTAATTGCTTTGTTTTAGTTTCTCTTGCTTCACCATTCACCTTGGTGTGTCTTGGCTCAAAATGAATCCATGTAAAGCTGTGTGTGTGTGTGTGTGTGGGTGTGTGGGTGTGTGTGTGTATGTGTGTGTGGGTGTGTGACTCTTACATTTCAGTGCTTGTTGAAGTATGAGTTAAACCATGTTCTGCCTTGATGCTAATTATGCTAATGCTAGATGAACTCTCCTAATGCAGCTAATTTGCATTTTGTAAAGTTTCCTAAAGTATTCCAAAGAGAAAGAAAGGAAGAAAGGAAAAAGTCCCTGTCCTGATGTGCTCTTTCCCCATAAAAGGTCACCAAATCATCATAAATGCTGGGGGTGTTTTTGAAGACTATAACAATGGCCTAAATCTTGTTAGCTTCTCTGTGCTAATTTTACTGGCAAGCATTTCTAGACATTTCTCACATTTCTGTATAATTCAGTCAGATGTGAACAAAGTCATTCAGATTAGTTTGATGTAAGATGCATTAGAGAGAAACTTATTGTGTCAAATTTCCGATAGAAACAAAGCAGAAGTCACAATGTCTACAGTGCAAACATAGCCATTTTGTTTACTATCTAAAATGATCAGTCATGTCTTCTGAGTTTATGTATGTAATTTTGGCAATAGTAATGTATTGGTAAATTCTCTGCATAAAAAATGTTTCAGGCATCAGGCAGTGTATTACTGAATATTTCATGTAATAGCTTTCTGTGTGGTAGCTTTTAGACACATTAAACTCTTCAGACATCTAGTACCTATCACTATGCTTGTCAACAAATCTGACTTGGTAAGATTCTGTAGAATGGCATATTTCACATCAAAACACTCTGAATGACTTTGTTTACATCCTACACCATGGCTGGAGTGTTTTTAGCCCAGAGTTACATGATGCAGACCAGCCCACCCCAAACTCTAAGTGTATTTCTGCAGCATGGCTAGCCAGTGAAACAATAAAAACTGGCAAAGCTTTTATTTTAAATCTGACATAATCATAATAGTCAATATGCTACAAACTAATGTTAGCATAGTAAATGAAGGTTAGCAATTCTCACTGCCCACCAGCTCAGATATGCCCTCATCCTATCTAAGTAGCTTTTTCATTCTTGTCTTCTCTGTGCCACCTTGAATTTTTGGAGTTCTTGCTACTGTTGTCCTTCTTTACATAATTCGTCTATGAAAATAGCTAGTCAGCCAGCACCAGATTCATACATTCATTACACTAAATTTAAATGCTAATTTCTCAAGGCTGATGTTAGCTTCTTATTTGAATTTCCGTATCACCTAAATAGTGCAGCAGTTACATACTACAACTGTACGGTCGTCTGAATGTAACTGCTACATCAATTAAGGTAAAATGGCAAATAAGAATAAGAAAAACTCCAGCTTCATCTAAGCTCTATTCATCGTACGAGACTCAGTTATGATCAGCAAACTGGGGCTGTTCCACTTCAGGTGAGGGACACTGGTTTAACCCCTAAATTATATACTTTTAGATGACAAAGTTATGAAATTATGAAATTAGCTATGTGTAACCCAAGCATTTCCACCTAGAATTGTTTTGCTGGTTAGAATAATATAACACTAAGCTTATCCAGGCTAGCAGTGTAGCTGCAAGTGGATTCATCAATGCATACTGCATCATTATTGTACAGTATGTGTTAAAGCAGTAGTTTGATGAAAAGTTCAAATTTACACAATCTCCCCCCCTTACCCCGCATGTAGCCAGATGTGCTTGGTGTCTGAAGTTTGCTTTTTTAATTTTGCACTAGGACTTGATTAGCATTGCACAAGCTGCTTGTAGCACCCGTGCAAAGTTAAGAAGTAAACTTCGGATACCAAACATATCCAAAGTACCACTTGAACACATCCTCTGTCCTGTGGTTGGACCTGCTGCAGGTCTAGAGCTGCTCACCGTTTGATATTCAAATTCCTGTGTATGGCTGGGAGTGGGCGTGTCCTCTAAACTGCTAAACTGCCCCTCAGCCGCACCCACTGGCCCTCCAAATTCTCACACAGCTCCTACAGCTCCACATAGAGATAAGAGAGAGAGCACACCAGTCAAACTGACCTCAGCTGAACACTGCTTGTGCCCTTCTTCTGCAGAGACACCTGTGAGCCCATCCAATTCAAGAACTCACCTGTGGAGGTAAGACCAATACACACACACCTCTATAGTATTAGCCCAAATAGGTGTACACACACAACTCATAAAAAAAAGAAAACATTTCATCCAATTCATCTTAACACACAAACATAGCTCCTCTGTACTGAGTTTGAGGCCCCACCAGTAAAATGTTTAAGGCCAATTAAAACATATTTGAAATGCTTTTGTAATATATGATTATTGGGTCAGTTAATTACCATGAATGTTAGTGTTTCATATGCTATGCATTAGTAAAAATAGATAGATAGATAGATAGATAGATAGATAGATAGATAGATAGATAGATAGATAGATAGGAAATTTAGCAGCCAGTAGCAGTCACACAACACAGGACAGCAATAGTAGTAAGGGGGTAAATATTAAGATGTATTATTTTATGTTAGGAACAACACTGGTAATCCTAAAATGTTGACAGCAAGTAATCACACACAGATGTATGAAATAAATAATATAGCATTTAAAAATATGAAAAAAAGCAAATCCTCAGAAAAATTATAAAGATTAATTTTTAAAAATCATGGCTTAAATACAAAAGCACTTTTTATTTCTAAGAATGTAATAATAACATTCATAATTAGTTAAAGGGAAATTCCACCCATTTATCAAGATTTCTGCATAAGTTGATGGCTGATAGATTAACCAAGTTGATCAAAGTGGTTTGACAATACTGTGGTTCATCTATTCACTCAAATTTCTTTACATGGCAATACATTTATTTTATTTGCCATCCAGAACAGCCATTGAACCTACACATGTCTTCTGAGTTTTTAGATGTAATGCTGAAAATAGTGATAAACCTGGAGAACTGCTTTGGTATGAGAACTACTGCTCTGCTATGAATATGTTTTGAAAAAATGCCGTTTAGCCCAAAACCTCATCTCAATATTATTATAAAACAATGTTTCAGGCACCAGACCGTGGCTTCATAACGATTTCATGTAATAATTATTTACGTGAGGTAGCATTTCAAAAGAATACATGGTTCAGATGTCTGGTTCCTACCATCACCGCTGTGGACAATTCTGACTCTGTAAGTTCCGCTAGAACAGCGCATTTCACGTCACATCACTCAGAATGACTTTGTTTACATCTTAAGCATTTAACTATGCGCAACATTTGACAAATCGGTAGAATCTCTCTTTACCAGAAAATATTCACTGTATTTAATCTCAGAATATAACCTGTGCTCACGTCTAACAAGTGCTGGTAAAAAGTTGGCTAGCATTCAAATCTTGAGTTTTTATTCTGGAAATCCGAAGCAGCATCCCTAAATAACCTGGATAACGCCATAAACTTTCTTATAGGCCTACAGACAGAGCCAGTATCAGCAGAGTTAGAGCTCAATTAGAGCTTAGTTTGTTATTAGTGACTATTTTTACAAGACATTTAGTTAATAAAGACATTGTCGTATTTTTGCCTCATTTAGTTATGAGTTCATTGATATTTCGCTTCAACCTTTTACATATTGTTATTTCTTGTGTGTTCACATTTTTAAAGTTTTTTATGAATAGAGGAAATAATTTTTTGTACGTTCTGAAATAATGTGTAGTGTTATAATAGTAATAGTTTTGTGGTAAACATCTAGTTCAAGCATTTTCAGGTGTCATATTATTGCGAGAAGGCGGATTTGGCTCGAGCTGAAAAATGAAAACTAAAACAAAACCCGAACAATCAGATGAAATGAAGTGGACGATCCTATTGAGTGTCCGTGATAACTTCAGCATCTTCTAGTAACAGAGGCTGCAAGTTCCGCACAGAATATCACATAATTCTGATCAGACAAAAGCAGCCTAATCGTTCTGACACATCAGCTACTCAAAAGGGTTTTGGCTCTGCATGCGACTTATTATTCATTTAACTTTCACCATAAATAGAACCGTCAAATTGTGGGGTTCTGTGAGGCACATCAACTTTGCAACAAAGTTATCTACCTCGATTTAACCCACTGCTTTCTATTATTTAAGAATTATACTTGCAGTAAGCTATGATGAAGAATGCACTCATATTTCACACTAAGTCTTGCCAGTCAAACTAATGTTATTATGACAATTTTTTAAAAAATGTCATGCAATTTTTCCATACATTGCTTTATTAACACTGTTTTATTGTGTTGTTTAATTATGCTACAAAGCACTTTGCACTGCATGGTCATGTATGAAAGGTGCTATATAAATAAAGTTATGGATATAAGTATAATAAACCAACATGCAACTTGTTATTTTCTGAAAATTGCTCTTGGTTTGGTTTGTTTTGTTTGAAGGCTTCCTGAGTTTCTAACGGGACTGGGAATTTAAAAAGTCACAAAAACAATGAAAAGTTATCAGGCTACCTGCACATGCTGGTGGTGATTTACATTCAACATTTAGTTCTTATTTAAACATTTATTAATACATTCTCAGAAAAAAAAAAAGTACGAAACTTTCACTGGGGCAGTACCCCTCTTGTCACTTGGGAGGGGTGGGGGGTGGTGGGGGGTGGGGGGTACCTTCAAGGGTACATCGCAGTACCTTTAGTCAGGGAACATAATTCTACCATAGTCCACTGAAATTATATTTTCTAAGTTGTATTCACTCCATACATCCTGTCTCATCTCCAGGCTTTTTATTTTTTGTTCTGCTTTAAAACTTGAAAAAGTACAAAAACTTCTTGTTTTAGGCAAACAATTGGACCCTAAAACCACTGCTGTACCTTTGAGGGTACATTTACATTGTTTGTACCTTGATGACCCAAAAATGTACCTGCACAGTACCTTTTTTCCTAACAGTGTAGTGTGAGTTTTAAAAAGTTCAGTTATTCATTGTCAGCACATCAGACTGGATGTAATCAGATGTGATCTGGCATATTATCACATTCTGGTTTGGCAAAGGAATATAAAATAAAATAATAATGTCACATATCTGATTAAGTCAGGCATTTTCCGTTAGTTTGTTGAGGTACAGCCTGACAGACATGATCAGCACATAAAAGCTTTATGAAGGTTTAATGGTAGCCTAAATATATGTACCAAATATTTACCAAACTGACCAAATTATCAATTATGTTATCAGTCACATTAACAGTTTAAGAACAGACAGTATTAACACAATTTTTAAAGTGTTCAAGCTACTTTATAGCACTTACTGAGCTGATTTGCTTTATTTTAGCTGTAACCAAGCTTCTGCCTAGGTGCACTGATATGTAACTAATCGTTTTTGATCATGCATAAGTGCATCAGTCTTTCCATTAACGTACGTGATTCCCTTGAAAGAACAAACGTTGTTTTCTAATGGTGCCTGTCGTTAAAGCCTGTAATAGACCATGTATATTTTTAGCATTCACTTTCAGCCACAGGCAAATGAGGATCTTTTAAAGGGAAGTTGTCGTCTAGTGGCCTTGATTAAATATTTTAGTACCCCCAAAGTAAAAAAAATAGATTCAAAAGCAACTGCAGCAGGTAGCGTTTCAGCTGTAGTATCAAAATACTTTGCATTGCAAAAGTAACTGTGGATTTCTCCAGCCCTGAACAGGGAACAGTTTTTCATATGGCTTCAATCCAGCCTTAACTTAATGGAGCTTTAAAAATATGTTCATTGAAATAACATTCTTACACAACGGACGGACATCAAGGTTAACTTTAGACAAGCAATAAATATATAAATTTACTTGACCTTTACAAATAACACCAAAGAACATCAGATACAACAAAACAGTGAATAATTCGAAGTATTGCCCAGTACTTTTTGGAGAAATGCATCCAAAATTGCAGAAAGCAGTAGACAAAATTTGAAGGCTACATAAAAAACGCTGTGATCTCACAAAGTGATAAGTCTCATCATAGCAGTCTATGTAGATAACATGGAAATAAAAGAACAACATAGTTTCTTTGCTTCAAGGTATAATAATAAATGTATGGTTATAAGGATTTTGAGGATAACATTTAGATCTTGTTTTATACTTCCACTGTCAGATAAGCCAGTAGGCAAACAAAGATTAACCTGCCATCTTTCTCTATTGCGCTATAAATCACATTGGCATTTTGTAATCCATGTTGCCTGTTAGCAGGCATTTAGGTTGTTCTACCTATGGCTTCATATAAATTGAATTTAATTGAATGCAATCATTTGCGTTAGTTACGTATGGACATTAAATCCAATTAGTTACCAAGCCTTAGCTAGTCAGATTTGGTAATGTGGTCTTCCACACTCTTTAATCCAGTACTAAACTTGTAAAGTTAATTAAACTTGTCAGTGGTGCTCCAGCCTAGTTACAATCGATGAGCTATGACTGGAAATTTGGTATTTAGGGAAATGGTTTAGTGAAAGGTCGACTTCACTTACTGTTTTTGAGCAGCCTCACTTAAGAGTATATAGGTTTGTAACTGTGATCTGGGTAGTTCTAATATTTAAAATCTAGAAAATACATAGGAAGTATGTTTTAATGAGTCCAAAAGCAGTGATGATGTGAATGACTGTGTTCCAGAAGCTGAAGTAAAGATGGAGAATCCCTCAGAGTCGCGGTGGGTCTCTCCCAGTTTGGTCAGTTCCGACCCGCTGGCCAGTTTTTCAGGCGATTCAGGCCTTCTGCCAGCTGGAGAGGAAGAGGAGCCATTCTACTCCTCAGAAACGGACTACAGTCTGCCATCATACTTTAACAGTGGGCAGAACCGAACTGCATCCGCATTCAGACACAGTCCAGGTATAGTAAAATATAAATGCCCAGGTCAACTGAGGGCTGAAGCAGAAAAATGAAGGTGATGCTCTTTTGCCAGTATTACAGCATACAATTATTAATATTCTGATTAACCTGATTAACAAACCTAACAACAGTAAATTACATTCAAGTACATCATTGTTTACCTCTTTCAACATTTCATAACAAATGGACCAGATTTTTTTCTTTTGCCTACGTTAACATGTTTTCCATTATGCTTTTTCAGATTTGAAACTTTCTTACAACAGCAATGATATATAAACTGAAGTGTAAACAAAAGTTTTTTTTTTGTATTTGTTTGCAGTGCGACAGGTTTACACATCTCCGTCGCTTCTAGGAAATCTTCCGTGGCTGGACACTTCAGGAGGACATAACATGCTGACCTATAGCAGTCCCTCCACGGCCTGGACATCCAGCTCCTTCACCAAACCCCCCTTACACCCCCACACTCCCCCACCGCCAACACCTCTTTACCCGACCAGCCCCTCCCCTTTCCCCTCTCCTGGCCGAGACAGTAAGGACACCCTGAAAGCAGAGCGTCTGAGTCCAGTGGGTGGAGCTGGGGGAACCTTTCTGAATCTGGGTTCATCTGCTGGTGGTGTGTACTCTCCTCCTCACACACACTCCCACATGCTGGGCCCCTACAGCTCCTACATGCCCCCACCCCAAGATTATGGCTCTGCAGCCCTTTATTCCACAGCAGGGGCCTGGATCAACCCCCCATCATTTTCACCAAAAATGAGGAATAAAATCAGACTCTCTCCTCCAGGTGAGTCAAAATAATTACTATGAAGTATGGATTTTGGTGTTTAGAGGTATTAGCCCTGTTTGGTCATTATAATGAAGGGCTTCTTAAAATGCAGGCTTATTAACTGCTTATTCAGCTGAAAACATATTATTCATGATTATTTAATCTCCTTTCTTTCTTTTTCTTCTTAGTAGTTTTGGATATTTCAAACAAATTTCAAATTTGTCTTCTCATCTTCACTCTAATAGCATACAGCAAGTTATGTGATGTGACCTTAGAAGAGGGGTGCACATCTCCAGTCCTGGAAGGTTTGGTGATTTACCGACTCACTCACACTTGAATGTACCTATCTGTTAATTTCCAGGTTTAATTTCCAGGTTGAAGCTGTGCTGGACATCAGCCCTGAAGGACTGGAGTTGTGCATCCCTGGCTTAGACCTTGTTACTACTATAATCATGAAAATGGGTGTAGCCTGCTGATCCATACATCAGTGATGTAGTTTATCAACTGTCATATTAAGTTCTATAGTTCTGAAGTAAGATAGTGAAGAATTGTTGTCCCACATACAGACTCAGAATTTAAGTTTTTAAAAAGTTTTACTACTGCATTCATACCAAAGACAGATGTAAGGATTACATGTGAATAACTGTGTATTTGCATGTGTTTCTGCACAGACGCTCGTGAGTGTGTGAACTGTGGAGCTACAGCCACGCCTCTGTGGAGGAGGGATGGGACGGGGCATTATCTCTGTAATGCCTGTGGCCTGTACCACAAAATGAATGGCCAAAACAGACCACTCATCAGGCCCAAGAAAAGACTGGTGCGTTCAGGTTTCATAGGCTACAGTAACACATTGATGTGTCTTAGTGCAGAGAACTATTACGGGGGGAAAGAAATAAATAAAATTTTCTGCCAATCAGCCAAGAATGCTCCAGTGCAAAACTAAAGAATTAATTAAAGTTTTGCACTGTTGCTAACAAGTAGGAGAGTCCACCAACTATGATCACGCAAACCGCATGCCTAAATCATCACATACTCACCTCAAATCTCATGTAACTGTCAAGTAATTTGCAATAGACATAAGTGGTTTCTGACTGCATAGCCAAAAAATCAATTAACCTGATTAACTAGCAGCCATCTTGAAACCAAAATTTTGTTGGTAAGAGGCACGGTACACAACCTAACATAGGGATTTTTATATACAGGCCCAAGTAGACATGCTTTTTCAGCTTCTCATATTCCCATGGCAGTGTAATCTGTGAATTTTCACAGCAGATAGGTAGATATAACTGTTATTGAAAGTGAAAGTTTTTTTTTTTTTTATCATTGATGGTTTTTGATTTCTGAGTTATGTGAGTAACTTATTTTGACATACTGAGTAAACAACTCATAGTAAAAGCTAGACAGGCTAAAGTATAATCTCTTAGTTTGAAGGCAGTGCTACAGCTAAGCCTTCCTTTTTTTTAACTTTTTTTACATGTATTAACATACTATTTATGTGATGTAAATAAAATATATTTTGTAGTATAGCTTTAGCGTGCTGACATTTGTTCTACTTTGCGTTCACAAACTTGGCAATGTTAGACACACAGTCCATTTCACTAATCATATTTATTCTGATACATATATTTTAATGTGTTTAAGTTGGAAAGCTTGTCTGATTTAAACAATGCATAATTATATTTAATGAATTGTGCTCATGTGGTAGGGTGTCCTTGCTCATTTGCATTTGCACTTTGCACTGCTTTCAGCTAAACTGTTCACAAATGTTAGATGGTTGAAACAAAGTTTAGCAGATAAGTGCATGTTGCTTTTATAAAACAATAATCTTGAACAGATATTTTTTAATTATTTAGCACAAAACAAGATGTGTTAGGTTGTTTCCCACGCCACCCTGTTATTATACATTTCATGGTAGCTAAATTATCAGTAAAAGAAATAAATGGCCCATCTTTTTTCTTTTCAGTATTAAAATTTTTAACTTTGTTGTATTAGATTGTGAGTAAGCGTGCTGGGACGCAGTGCGCTAACTGCCAGACCAGCACCACCACACTGTGGAGACGCAATGCTAATGGGGAGCCAGTGTGTAACGCATGTGGACTTTACTTTAAACTGCACAATGTAAGTATGATCTTCTAATTATACTCTTTTACTGATAAATAGTGTGGAATGGATTGAAAGTTCAAAATCTTAACTTTCCACAGAATTTCTTTTTTTTAAATAAAAATAAGAAAAGTGTAAGAAAAGGTGTTTTAAATTGTAAAGACCATGTGAAGATTAAGGAGGATTATAATTTATCTCTAAATGCTAAACATAAATCGACAGGTGAACAGGCCGCTGACCATGAAGAAAGATGGGATACAGACACGAAACCGCAAAGTATCCAGTAGGAACAAGAAGGGGAAGAAGAGCGGGGGGGCAGAGCTTTATCCTGAGTTGGGCCCACCCATGGTGCAGGATGACTGTGTAGGGGCCTTTACGCTACCCCCGGGGCCCCTACTGTCCTACAGCACCCACACACATCTGCCATACACACACCACCCAAACCCTGGTATGGTGTCGACACTGGTGTGAAAATAGCTGCCTAATGAACTCAAACAAAATCAGCTTTTCTTCTGTTGTGCATGACTATGGAATGGTATGATATAATAAACAGGCTGCCAACATTTTAAGAAAAGATCCAAAGACCTATCTAGAAATAAATACATACACACACACACGCACGCACACACACACACACACACACACACACACACACACACACACACACACATATATATATATATATATGTATATATATGTATATATATATATATATATATATATATGTATATATGTATATATATGTATATATATATATGTGTGTGTGTGTGTGTGTGTGTGCGTGCGTGTGTGTGTATATATATATATATATATTACTCACAGTACTGTGCAAGAGTCTTGCACTTAAGCACATACAATAAACAAATCTAACAACAATTTCATAAAATTTCCAATTTCTAAAAAATCTTGCATATTTTGTGAGCTAGTGTGAAGAACAAAGTTTGGTTCCAGATGTCTCCAGCTATCGCATAAATTTGTTCACTCTCATCACCAACACTCTTGATTTAACACAATGAAGTATCAATACCAAATCAGGTACTGGTTGACAACTACAAATGATACTGGGCTGCCTGGAGGAGAGGTTTGGAAATAACACAGTGACATACAAAATACACAACTGTTTGTATGAATGTTTTCTCGAGCAAATATATGCTTACTGTCCAGGAAAACAGCTTTTTTTAGTGTGTGTGTGTGTGTGTGTATATATATATAAATATATATATATATATATATAAAATGACCATTAACTTACATTAAAAGTAAAGTAGTTTTTTTTCCCTTTTCCTGTATAGTTATCACTTTGGAGATACAAGGTTTTTCGACAACAACTATATATATATATATATAGTTTTTAATATATTTTTTTATCAAACAGTACTACATAAATTTTATGTTAGCAGGGCACCATGATAGTAAAACATCAATAAAATTTAATTAACCCCATAAACAGCACGCTTCATATTCAGTTATTAACTGTAGGTTAACCCTTTAAAGTTCATGGACATCCACATCCTCAGGCTTATTATTCAGTAATTACAAAGTACAAAATGCTGCCATTAGACATGTAAACAAACTATGCTAGTGCTGTCTGACATTTTTCTATAACTCTGGAAGAAGTGGCAAACTCATTAGTGGATGACAGAAAACAATGTTCTCTTACAGTTATTTTCTGTCAAGTGTATATATTCATAAATGTTCTTTTTATTTCTTAAAGACTTGCATTCTGTGATTATAAAGATTTGCACTGTATTTTGTAACAACACCAGAGGTTTTGAAGAGACTCCACCTTCACTGTTTTATCAAAGTTTTAACTATTGTGTCTTTTGTGAATGTTGCCTACTTTTTTGCAGGATGAAAATGCATTAAAAAAAATCAACTGTGGCCTTCGTTGAAGACATTTAATTAACACGAGTATGGGCTGTCAAACGTCAACTTTTTCAGTGTGTAAATGGTATTTACATGTTCAGAACTGTTTTAGAGTTTGTGGTTTAATCACTATGGTGTTATTGTAGTGCTGCCTGTTGGGTTATAATACTGCCATTGTCCACTTAGCACTGTCTCACAGCTTATAGAACACGAACATTCAAATGAACCACTTACCATAAAGCTGCCAGTGACAAAACATTTTACTAAACACCTACTTCTGCCAAGTTCTAAATTGAAACTCATAGTTTTGCCCGAGTGTATAAAACTCCCACACAGCAGGCAGGAAAGCAGGTGCAACATGCAGGTAAAGGTTAGTGAGATTAAAAGCCTGAATGACCTGGCTTAACCCAAATAAATCTAAACATGAGTGGGAAAAGGTGAATTTTTTTCATTTTTTTAAATATTCGCTTTGGTATCAAACCCCACCTGTGGCTAGAAAACAATTTCACTCCGTTTCAAAGCCTCTGTATGTTCCGCATTGCTAGAATGATATGGATTTAATTTCCATGCAAAACTTTGTAATTTCAAAGCCATTTGAAAAGCTGCCCTTTACAATTTGTGAACATTCCATTATAAATGAACCAACAGAGATGGTCCAAATTAAATTAAATAAATTTTGTTTTTATTTTCTCCTACAAACATACAAGGAGATAAAAGGTTTTATTGCAACAACAAAAATATAAAATGTATGTATGAAATTACCAATTATGAAGACTCAAACCTGAGAATAAACTGCTTTGCAATCACTTAACAAAGGACAGCTTAGCTCTGCACTGCAATAAAAATCTGTACATATCTGAGTAGCCAATGGTGTACGAGATGGCTCTTCAGGATGACAGATTTTTACCCTTTAAGAGAACCCTCCAAAAATAAAAATGCGTGACTAAAGCAGGTCAAAATGAAGCAAATGAGTACTCATATACATTATGGACTAAATCCAGAAATAAATAATCATTTGCATAGTTGCATAGGCCTAGTCATTCTGTTCACGCTTGACTGGAGATCATATAGGTTGGTAAAGAGTTATGTACACAACATCTGGACACACTTTACCCATCACTAATTCTCACATCAACACACTTTCAGAATTAAATCACCCTCAAGTATGAGTGGGCAAATCTTCCCTCATTTGCTTCCTTTTATAAAATAGAACCCCATCTCACGCAGTGACTCAGTTTTTCCAACCTGATCCACGAACCATAAAACACAAAATTATTCTTCAATAGGAACATGTGAACCTGTGATAATTCACACCAAATCACTGAGATAGTGAATATCAGCACAATGCAAATATTAAAAACTCCAGTGTAACACCTAACACAGAATTCACAGTACTGATAATAAACAGCAAAAATTATCTTGATTTGACTGCTAAACCCAGTGCAGTGAACAACCACCAAACATTTCCAGATCAAAAGTTACACTGAATTTTTAAGTTTATAAGAAGATGGTTTGGTAAATTTGCAAATTAGTTTTAGAGTGGCAGGTGGGTTTCTATTTTTTCTGTGTCTTCCCCCAACAGCGTTTATCGGCTGGGACGGCTGGCTCTGCACTGGGGAAATGGCACCAAATGACACTAAGAGATTAGCAACCACAGGATCAGCCCATTTAGCTTTTAGCAGCCATCCGTTAGAAGCATCAACTCAGTTTCACTAACCTTGAACTGTAACTAAACCAACTTTTCTTTTGACTTTAATTCAGTGCACAAAACTAAATTAATTCCAAATTTAGAGTTGAAGTACATATCACACGTGCATGAGCATTTATATATAAAAGCAATGTTCATACACATCAGACTCCATCTCCCTCTATTCATGGAGGTCCAGTGCCCAACAGTTTTTTTGCCCTACTCAAAAAACATCTACTAAACCAGCACTTAACAGATCAGTTAAATCAGGTGTGTCTGAACAAGGAAAATCTCCATACTGTGCTGGACACCAGCCTTTCAGGATCAGAGCTGAAGACCTCGTGTTATTGCACATCCATGCAAGCAGTTTAAGTTTCAGATTTCAACTTAAATCCTTCATAAATAAGTATCTATGATACTCCAGTACAAAAATATGCGCACTTCTATATGATTTGTGGGAATTTAAAGGCTACACATTCTTCAACTTTATATGGTTTCTGAAACACAAGCTGCTAACTGTAGCATCTGCTGACAGTTCCATCTAATGGCAGAACAATGTAAGTACAACGTTTGGATGGTCCAACTAATAAAAGAACATGCACAGAAAAACATTAAAGCTACGTTTGGAGGAAAAACAACACTGTGCATATATTCCAAAGAGAAAAAAATCTGAAACATATTTGAACCTTGAGCAGTTTTCATCAAGACATTAAGAGTGATCATTCAAACTTAGCCTCAACTGTTCAAATGTCTTGGGTTTCAACACTACATGGGCTAGAGAATTGACTACACTCAATAATTTAACTAAAACACTCATTAAACTGAGTTACCTTTATTCAGATCCAGAAAAACACACTGGTTTTGCATAACCATTATGAGGAAGTTCAAAAAGAATATTCTGGCACTTGTTAGAAAAAACACCATTTCACACTGAACTAGAATATACAATCATTTACAACATTATTAAAACTGTCAAATGCATGACAGTCTAATAATGTAAACTGGACAAAAACTAAAGCTAGTCTCTACTGAGATACTTATAAATCAGGCATCTGGCTCAACAGAAAAACTTTCTTTTTTAAGTATTCAAGCTAAATTCACTGATCTTTCCTTACAGTTGTGAGGATTTAAAAAAAAATCATATCCAAGCACTTTTTAGTAAATTACAATGTCAATTTTATTTGATCAGAGAGAAACAGACCTATCAGTTTTGTTACAATTCCATCAACTGTGCGATTAAATACAGAGGGCTGTGTAATGTAAAAAAACAAAAACAAACAAAAACAAACAAAAACAACAAAAAAGCAGATCACCAGTGGGACTATGCATGGAGAAGAATATTACAGTATGTTATTTTTTTGCTGCTTGTTCACAGCAGACATGTTGATAGTAAACAGTTCTTTCAGTGAGCTTGTACCACTGTTCCGCTTTGAATGGTTTCAGTTTTATCACGCTGTTGGAGGTCACACTGAGGTAAAAGTTCTCACCTAAGACTGAAGAGGTTTAACACTGGCACTGAGGGAGAATCCATCATCTACCCAGCAATCCCACCTCCTTCCCCTTCTCTTCAAATCGTCCAGCTGGTCTGTAGTGACTCTGGTTTGGTGACACGCTGCCCGTCCATATCACTTCTTCCGGACTGGAACTAGATGCAGACCCATCAAGAATCTTTTCTTCTCCTCTGGCAGAATTTCTACTTGCTCTGCCATCTCTTTCATAGAGGAAACTCTCCCTCAGTACAGTCCCTTTTGTTTGGCTCTGCACAACCGAAGGTCGAAAAGTAGCTGCTTGCTGAGTTTTGAGATTCATGTCGTCTACAGCCTTCTCCTCTTGCTCTGATTCACTATCAGAATCAATGGCGATTGGCTCTGAAGAAGTTCCAGGGGTTGGCTTGAAGGCACAGTTGCTTTGACTACTTCGTCCAGTGTTTAGAGCCTGTCTTATGCCCCTAAATTGGAGTGCTTTGATGCCCTCCTCAGCAGAGAAACCAACAGGAGCCTTCAGCCTCACTTTGGAGGTTCTTGATTTTCCACTTTTCTCCTCATTGTTGACAGCGAACAGCCACTCAGTGTCAAAATTCATATTATGCTTGAGTTGGTTCACTGCTCGCATATTAAAGCCTAGTAACACTACAGGTTTACGAGTAACAAAGTCCCGTTCACACGAGCGCCTGCGATTGGCAAAGTGACTTGAGACGTCAGACTTCCACAGCCAGAGACTAGCAGCTAGTTTCTCTACCTCTCGTTGCAATGGATAGGGACGGTGGTTAAAATAGGCTGTGAGGAAAGCCTTCCGTGCCTCATAAGACTCATCTGCGTGGCCTTTGGGATCCAAGGCAAGAACAACAGGCTCTTCAGGTTTCTCCACAAAAACTGTGGGATAATATCTACTTTGGTCCACCATCTTCCTCCTCTTAGGGTCAATAGCATCTGAAGCCACCAGCTCTCGCTTAAGAGTACCTGCTCCAGTTGAGCGCAGTGTGGAAATGGACTTGCTGCAGTGACCTTTGGGACTCTGTCCAACTCCTCGGCAGTGCACCAGGTGAAGTGTGATGGTGGAAGCTGTCATGTTACTTGTATACACACCCAGACAGTGGATACACTTGTAAGTGAGCTTTTTCTCCACAGGGTGCAGCGTCTGAAGTACCTGGTGACGGTCTCTGAGGTGGTGTGCTAGCGCATCAGAAATGGGGCCTTTGAGGATGGTGAAGCACAGAGGACAGAGTGTCTTTCCAACTTCCTTTTTCTGGGATACTGCATTTTGGGATGAGTTCCTCATCAGGGATTCACTGTGTTTTTCTGGACCCTTTACCATCATAGTAGGCCTGGCTACAGCATTGTTTGGTGATTGCCCAGGTGTGGATGACGACTCGGGTGCTTCCTTCATGTTGTATGTGGTAATGATAAGCTGCACATTCTTAGGACTGCCTTGCTGAAGCGTCAGGTCAAAAGTCAGCGGAGAGCCAGTAGGAGAGTCCCCTTGCTCATTTGGGTGAGCCTGCCGTTTGTGCGCTACTATCTTTTCAACCTCATAGAACGTATTATGACACTGTGGACATGTCAGACCATGGACTAGCATGTGGTTCAACAAGGAGTCACTCGGCAGGTAGCGGTTACAATATAGACACTTGCTTGTGAAGTTGTGTATTTTCATGATGTACTTGGCCATAGCCCGCACCTTTTCAGCCTGATGTTCCTTTTCAAAGTGTGCGCTGTATGCACTCTCAGGGAAGAGTTCATTGCAAATGGTGCAAATCTTCCACTTCTGCGTTTGTGAGGTGTTCAATGCGTTAGCTGAAGCCTTCTTTGCCTGCAATGAGGTCAAAGTGGCAGTAGCAGCATGCACTGAAGAGAGAGGTAGGGACTTCATTGAGGGGGAGAACGAGGCATTACCATGAGATGCTGTGACCCCAAAGCCACCCAGGTGTTTTCCTGCATGCGGCTGTGAAACTGTGCCAGACATTAGAGCTTTGTCAGGTAGTGTAATGCGCACCGGTTGAGAAGATACAGTGTTTCCTGCAACACTCTGCTTGAAATGGTTACCCACAGGCATCCCCATCACTTTGGGCACGTTAAAGCGATTTACTGGTTGTGCCATATGAGGAGGTACACCAGGGGTTATTGTAGCACCCCTCTGAATTATGTTGGCCTGTGGCCGAGCCACTACAACATTGGTATGGCCAATCATAGCGGTCACTTGATGACCAATGCGTTCATGGAACTCAATGACATGCTGCACGAGTGCCTCATAGGAACGAGGGACAAAGAGGCAGCTTTTGCAATGAATACCATGACTATTGACTGTTGTGGCTTCACTATTCTCCTGCTTCTCTGAGTTTTTGGCTACATAGGGTGTGGCCACATGCTGGAAGTGTTCCCTGTAAATGTGCCTGCGCACTACATTGTAGAGTCTGTCCCGATAGGTGCACTTCTTGCAGTAGTACACTGGCAGCTCCCTTCTGTCGGTCAGCATAGGCTTGTCTATCCGTATACCATCCCTAACACCCACCAGGGAACCCTGTGGACTGGCAACACCCTGTCGCGCCATGTTCTGGGGCATGTGGAAGAGCCTGACATGAGTTTCCAGCGTCCTCTTGTTCCCACTGTACATGCAATAAGAGCAGTTGAGCAGAATGCGATTCTCAAAGTCATCTCTGTGAACATTGCGAAAGTGGTTCTTGTATGCTGAGAAGTACTTGGAGGCAAAGGGGCAATCTGAGCAGCAAAACTGCTTTGTTCTATAGTCCTGGAAAACATCAGAATAAAATATTAATGAGATGGGTCGGGGCAAATACTGAAATACTAAGCATTTTTCCTACTATACATGCCCACTGAAAATGTCTTACCTGTGACTTTGTCCAAGATGGATCCCACAAACAAACATCAAGGTAATAATGCTTGGAATAGGACTCATCAGAGCCAAACTCTTTGTAATCCTACAGGGGAGCAGCATTTAAAAAGGAAGAAACATTTAGATTGACAACATTTTCTGCCGGATCACTCAGTGATTTTTTAAATTGTTTGTATATAAAACTACTTTTTCAGCTTGGAAAAATCATCATTTTATACAGCAGACTTGTTAGGAAAAATGCCTTCTTTCATTTATTTTGAAGATTTTCAAATTACCCACTATTTATACTGGGTGTGGTTCTGCTACAGATTTTGACTCCAGTCATTTATATTTAGACCAATTAAGCTATATACCTGGTTAATCCCATCATGCAGACTAGTTATAATATTGTTACAGTCTATGTCTGCATGTTTTAAGTTTATGGTTAACACTTCTAGAAAAGTATTAAAAATCAAATCAGTACAAAACTCCAAGTTATTTTCTGATCTTTTAATTTTTAGTCACCTCAATATGTTCCTTGCAATAGTCCAGACCAATGTCACTTAACAGCCTCTTGACCTTTTTCCTGGCTTTTCTCAGCCGAGTAAGATTGTTCACAGGAAGCTGAAACATCACTCCTATTACAAAAGAAAGCATTTCTTGTGTATCCTTCTGATAAATACATTTATGGATTAACATTACTCATTTCAAAAATCAATAAAAAGCAGTAAGACAATCAAAGTTTTTAAAAATCTTGATCAAAATAAGAAAAAAGTTCACAATTCAATGCACAGAACTGAAAACTTCATTTACCAGATGAGGTATCAACAGATTCATATCTCAAGTTGTTAACAGGGAAGCGACGAACAAAAAAATGACCGTTCCCTAAGAAATTAACAACAGAATACAAACTCCGCATTATAGGGTGTACATTTATCTTTCTGTATTTAATTGTATCCCTCCGCAATGCTGTAGGCCACAAGCGCTCGTGAATGAATGCAGCTAATGCTAACGCTAAAGCTAACGCTAGACAATGCAGGCCGGGAGCAGCAGCGCTAAGAATAACGTGATACAAAACAAACGCCACCACATTCCCTGATTAAATGATCAGAAAACAGCTGTACTAAACGTTGCAAGACATGTGCGATAGTTATGGTGAAAAGCTCGAAACTAATAATTCGTGTCCTGCTTCGGTTCGTCAGCAGCTCCGGCGCGTTAGCCTGTATGCTAAAAGAGAAGCTGCGTTTTAGCTTTAGCTGTAGTCACATTCATACACCCACCGATCGACCGGGCGGGATCCGAGTAGCATGGAACTCCGGCTGGGGGATTCTCCTGCGGTCTGCCTGGTGTGTGAGAAAGTGTGGGGCTGTTTTGGTGTGTGTGAGAGTGTGTGTCCTGGGTGGGTGTTTGCTGTAGCGGCTTTACGTGCTTCTCATCACACCGCGAACACTCGCCGCCTCACCGCGGGTTCAGGAAACTCCCGGGAAAGGCGAATAAAAAACAACCGACCATTCGCACTCCGGTACAAAAGGAGAGGGAGTCACCGGAGCGGAATTCCTGCGGCTTTCTGTGGAGTTTTTTGCGGATTTTCTGCAGCTTTCTGCGCTTCTAGACCCTTCCACATCCAGCGGAGCTCAAAATGGCGCTCGGCTTTGGGCGGAAGTGACATATTTTTGTGAAGTTGAAAAAGAATCGCATACATTCATCACTTCAGCAGTAAAACAGCCATTTATCACACTAAAATACCGAGAAAGATCCGTTCAACCATCGCTGTGATGTATTTAACAGTAATGTGTAATGGAATGGAAATCAGACAAAACAACTTGCTCATTAATTTATTGATTAATTGGTGTATAAGACATACTGCTCTTGGCACAAACTCATCTATCCATTTATTCATTCATTTATTCAGTGTTGCCATTTATGTTTTTTCACTCCAGTTTAGGTTGCTTGAAATGGCATTTCCAAGGCTCAGGGGTCAATATCAGTAATTATCCATGCATTTCTCTCATTAGGGAACTACAGTTTGTGTGTGAGTGTGTGTGTGTGAGAAAGAGAGAGAGAGAGAGAGAGAGAGAGAGATAATCAGTCCTGGGGCTCCATCACCTCCAGAGTTACCACTCGGGGTCCCGTCATCACCAGCTTTGAGAGAGCGCAGTAATCCAGATGGAGAACGCTGAGGCCATTCACCCGGCACACAAACTGCCGCACCTGAACAAACATGAAGGAATCAGTGGAATATGAGGTTACTACACTGCATATGCATGGCATTGTGTCATAGATGTAGTTTCCACATTGTGAGTGTGTTATTATTACACCAGAGATGTTCACAAATTGCTAGATGTGAGTCAGAGTCGAGACCTAAATCTCTGGAGTACAAGTCCGAGTCTAGTCTTGAGTCTCTGGGGTATGAGTCTGAGTTGAAGTGCAAAACAGGTTCTTAGCTGCACCTGTCAGGTTCGACATGGTTTTAAATAAGGAACCTTTCGTTATGGAAAATGCTGCAGACTGAAGGACAGAACTGAAGCCCTACACCCAGTAAACACAGTGCTTAAAATAAAGGGCAAGACAAACAACTGGTTAATTTGTAGTTTGTAAGTATGTTTGTTAGCTAGCATATTAGTTATCTAATCCAGCTGAACTTTTAAAAGAATGTTATCTGTAATTTACTAAAACCCTGGCTAGATTGGCTGACAACTAAAGGTAACTATTGCTAGTGTTGCCTCTTTTAAAGTCTGTATTTACAGCAATTTAATGATTTGTTCTGTTTTTCATTTTGAAGGCTGTAATATAAAAAAGCTCATGTTTGAAGCTGTATCAAGCCTGATACCACAGAGAGCTGCAAAAAGAATGGCATGAAATGTCTGGCTGTAGGGCCAGAGCGACTTTAACATGGATGTTTTGACACGTCCTTTTCCAAAAGGATGAGTTGGTCTGGAATGGCTGTGAAGTACTTGATATTTATTTCAAATTGCTCACTTATTTAAAAAAAATCGAAAGGGGGAATGGGAAAAAGAGAAAAATGAGTTGAGTCATGACTACAGTTGCCTAGATAATAATGTAAATTCCCTACAGTACCCATAATGCAAACACCAACACAGCGCATGACTGTAGTAAAACTGAAAGGCAGAATCACATATGCAGTGTTGGAAACAAAAGGTTTTATTTGAGTCCCAAATTATGATTCAATCAGTTTTGTTCATGCTGTTTTTTTCCTCTGGCTGAAATTTTGTGAGTGTCAAGTCTTGAGTCCAAGTCGAGTCACAAGTCAGTTAAACGCGAGTCAGAGTCAAGTCACTGAGTTGATGACTCAAGTCCACATCACTGGCTTACTTGGTTTATAAACACAATTCAGTAATTCCTCTAACCATGGAAATTCACACATAAGTAGTTTTTACTGTCTTGGTGGCTGCTATATAGCACTATTTTGAAAATAATAATAAAAAATAAAAATAACAGCCTTTAGCCTCACTAAAGTACAGCCTCCACACAGCAGGGTTTGTTGTAACACAATGTTACAAGTAACCTTCTAAAGTAAAAAGTCCATACCCCTTCATATTTAAAATAGTTTTCTGGTACTTTATATTCACAGATTAATCAGAAATAGATAAATGACACTGTAGATGTCAATTCCTTTTGCTCTGATATTTTCTGCTCTACTTTGTAGTCAAAAATAAATTTGCCCTGTTTGACAAAGGTTCTTTTCACTAGTCGAATTCATATATTTTTATGTATTTAGGCTGGAAAACATGTCTGATTCAAGCAACATGAAACTGTATTGAGTACATTGTGTTTTCATTATTTTACTAGATCAGCGGTCAGCAATCCAAATGTTAAGAAGAGCCATTTTGTCCTTAAAAGTACAATCCACAATATTTTCTGTCAGTTTTACCATCTTGGCTGTAAATATGTCTCAGTATGTGCTAATGTGTTAGTATAGGCTAACAAATTTTATATAAACGAAAACGCAGACTTACTTCGCTCTGCTTTAAGCTTTAGCTCAGCTATAGCCATTTTTCTCACATCTCCGGCAGAAAACTTTTCCTCAAAAGTGGAATAGTTTCTTGTAAAATGTCTCTCAATGTTAGATTTTTATGAGGCTGAAGTCAGCTTCTCATTCGCCAGCTTCTTGTTTGAATGAGCAAGGTGCAGCAGGCACCATTTAAGGAGAAACGGGAAAATTCAAATGAGAAGCTGACTTAAGCTTTGTGACTTTTTAGTGTTTGACAGTTCCTCATTGCAGATTTAACTTATCAGGGACAAAGCTGGAGTGCTTATAAATGCAAATAAGTCCATTCGTCTCCAAATTATCGATGTTCATCTTAAATTTTCTCTTTCCCTTTTCGTTAGCTTCTGGATAGGTGAGAACGGTGTCTGCATTGTTATGTGGCCAGCAGTCTGCACGTCTACCTTTAGGGCTAAAGGATGAATTAGCATACATTAACTCCAACGTTTAAGACCATTTATTGTTAAAACTGTTAAAACAGATCAGCAGGGCTTTATTTTACTGCAAAGGAGGATTATTTTCTTTTTACCTACAAATCTAGTTCTGCTCTGAAGCAGCAACTGGGCAGTAAAATAGCCATAGGCAGCCTGGTGCAATATGTTGCCGACCCCTGTACCAGACCTTTTAGAGACTGTCGTGACTAGCTCCTCAGTTTGTTAAAATTAACCAAATGTGCCCTGCTCTCCCCTACACTACACCCATTTCATGGTTACACTACATGCATTTCTATGGCTGCTCTACACCCATTTCCAAGGCTGTGCTAGGAGTTTTGATTGGTGAGAAGAAGTGGACCACATATATAGGTTTGAAATATTCAAAATTAAGCAGGGGAAAAAGACAAGCAATTTAATGAGAAGAGAATCCAGTATGTTAGCACTAACTTTAGTAACATCATAGCCTTCTATATCTGCATTACCAGACAAATAGTATACCATTGCACAGAGGTGGGAACAAGGTCACTAAGTTGCAAGTAACAAGTATGTCTCAAGCCTTGACACTCAAATTCTGAGTCAAGTCCCAAGTCAAGATAGTCTTAATTCAAGTCACATGTCAGGACAGGCAAGTCTCAAGTTGAGTCCCAAGTCTTAATCTTTAAGTCCTAAACAGGTCAATATGCATTCTTCAGCTAATGTAAGGCCATTTCAACATTTAATAACAGTAACAGTACTATAACATTTTAATGAGTGCATGTTAGTAGTGAATGGCTACATATTATTTTATTTAATTTTTATTTTAAATTGTTTTTAACCTATCCAACTAAAATACAAAATCCATGGTACACAGATATCCATGGCAGACATAATGGTATACAGAAAGAGCAGTACACTGCACATTAAAGGAATGTTTAAAAGTACTATTAAGTTCAATAGAAAAAAACATTATATTTGAAGATATTTTTTGATGATTTTGGGGAACATTGGGCACCTAGGATTAAAATAAAAACTAGCTCAGCCATATAAAACAGTCACTAGTTTTAATTGAATTTAGACGACAACAGAAACCAAAATGACTGAGCTAAACAAAGTCACCCAACTGTTGCTCCAGTTAAGGTGGAACGACAAATTTTCATTATGGTGAACAAAAAGTCAACTTCAGCCTCTTGGTGAATGCTGGCTTGTTTTACTGGCAGAAGCTTTTATGTCAAATAGAGAGGGCACTGTTTCTTTTGTTTTGCTACCATGAGGAAAATGGTCAGTTTGCCTGGTAAGTTTCTCCAGTAAGAGTTTAAGGGCTGAGCAAGGGCTTTTTGATGCTGTTGATGCTTCGTTTGTTTCTATTTTTTTTTTTCTATCATATAGTTTATGGAAGGCAAACTTGAATTCTGACGTTTCAGCTGTCTTCTGAAATAAAATAAGCCAAGCATAAGCACTTAGTAAGTAACAGACATTTGAGGTCTCAAGGGTCTAGAGTCTGTCCGAGTCACAAGCCTCAAGTTCGAGTCAGAGTCATTGGTGTTCAAGTCAGAGTCGAGTCACAAGTCTTTCTGTTTGTTGAGTTGACACTTAAGTCATCAAATTCATGACTTGAGTTGGACTTGAGTCCAGGTCATATGAGACCACACCTATGCTATTGGACCCCACCACAATGGATTGGAATTGGGCATCCATGGTTTGTGTGTATGTGATCACCTTAACTCCTGCTACTGCAGCAGGGCTTCCTGGGTCCACAGCTTGCACATAACAAGGCGATTTCCCTCGCACCACAAAGCCCCAGCCCAGAACGTCCCCCAGGATCTTTACAGTAAGCAAGCACATATGAATGAATTGAAGGGGTAAGGTGTATTTGTTGTTAATTCTTTCACTTTTTATGCTGTGCTTGTGTATGAGAGGAACTCACAGTAAGCACTTTTTTAATGTACGGAGCTCCGGGGGACAGTAATTCCTCACACGTTACAGCCCGCTTCAGTACTGTCAATAAACACACAACAGTTCAACTTAATTACCAAGTAACAAAAACTTTTGCTGTTACAGGCTCAGATGTGCTTTCAAGAATATTGTAAATAAGGCATTACATAGTTTTACTCAATATTTTTCAATTTTTTTATTGTACTAACTCAAAGCGTAGATGATTTACATTTTTCTTTTTTTCTCTTTTTGTCAATTTGAATGAACAGGCTGTTTTTGTTACTGTTTCTTTAACACTGATTGGGTGTTGTGCATCAGTGAAAAAGCAATTTAGGCTGTAGGCAGAATAGGCAGAAATATGTAAATAAATTAGTTTCATGACATCAATAAAACAACAAAATCAAAACAGGCTTTTTTTGCAGTTTAGTGTATATGCACTGTAGGAACTGGGGTGTGTATAGTATATTTTGAAACTTGTGTTAACATAGTACATCAAAACCTTTTTTAAAAAAAGCAAGGAAACTTTGGTTTTCCATGATTATGGGGCCTTTAAAAGCATAAGTGCATAATCCTTAAATACATAGTTGTTTAACCTATAAATAAGTAAGTGTTTAAGCCTCAAATGCATGGGCTTTAAAGTAACATATAGAAATTGAATATTTTTTATGTATTTTATTTTACTTACTGTATTAATCAATCAGTATTTAATCCTTAAATACATGGATGTTCAAATTCTTGGATGGCTCAATGCCACTTTTCCGATACCAGCACTGATACCGATGTTAAAACATTGAGTATCAGCTGATATGGATCCAGTGTTTTTCTTCAAAAAATTACTAAGCTTCAGCTTTCCATTAAGAGTGCTAAAATAGGCTATCATGCTCAGATTACTCAGAAATACACAGCTGACAACATGATGTCACACATTGTGTGTGATCCCTCAGGCTAGACTTTTTACAGGATTGGATCAGATTCATTATTTTTTTTCTCCCTCTAATATTTGATTCAGTTTTTTTCTGTTGATTGGCTCACTACCAATACCCACTGATTTGGAAATGCACTCTCTACTCTCTAATACGTGAGTGTTTAACCCTGAAATGCACTGATCGACTTTCAAATGCTTGAATATTTAATTCTTAAAAGTGGTGTTCAACCATTTCAATGGGTCAGTTTTTAACCTTTAAGTGACTGAATTTTTAAATAAAAAAAATATTTTCAGCATTTGACCATTTGTTTGCCACTTATCTGAGGTTGGAGGGGGAAGGTTACAAGTTAGGGTTAAGGTGTAATGGTTAAAATACATTTGTAAATGTCCTCCATTGTCCTAAAAGCAGACCTGATTTAGGGTTGGATCTGACCCCAGGAGCAGCGTAGACTGAATTAAGAGCCATAAACCCATTGGAGTTGTGAAGCTGATGCGTCAGACTACTGCGTCGTCCACCTTTGACAAAATTTTCATCATTTGTGGCTTCATCTGCAGGGGAGGGAGGAGAATGTTAAAGTATGTTAAATCTACAAAAAAACATACAAAAGTATGGACAAATCAGGCTATCATGATGGCTTCAAGATGGCTGATGCTGCTGATTTAGGCTATGCAATGGCAATGTACTTTTGTCATTTTTACAAATAAGAAAGTCATACAGTTTCAGAAACCACATAAACAAGTATAGATTACTTGACAAAGTGACATAGTTTAAGGTAAATGTGCACACTGTTTGGGCCATGCTAATTGGTGGTGTGTAAACTCGTAGGACTTGGTTACATTAGCCTCATAGCTCCACTGCAAACTGCAAAATTGGGCAAATTTGATCCTTCATTGCTTAAATTTGCTTAGCATCCATTCAGTTGTCCTCCATTACCTCAGTCAAGCTTTCGGGTTTTTTTTAGTTGCAAGCTAGCGTTCCTGCGAATGTACAGTCAGGTCCATAAGTATTTGGACACAGTTTTTGCAATATTGCTTCTGTACACCACCATACTGGATCTGAAAAGAAGCAATCAAGATGGAACTGAAGTGTACACAATGAAAAAAGTGAGCTGTTTAGGAATTACCTTTTTTTACTTAGCTCCTTCAATTCTCACAGGCTCCACTGTAACTGGACAAACCAACATAATTATAAATATAAGGATTATTTTTAATATTTGCGTGCAAATCCTTTGCAGTCAGTGACTGTCTGAGGTTTGAACCCACCATCACCAAATGCTGAGTTTCCTCCGTTGAGATGTTCTGCCAGGCCTTTACTGCAGCCCCCTTCATTTTTTTTCAGCCTTCCTTTCTGTTTTCAGGAAGTGAAAAGCATGCTCAATTGAGGTGAGGTCAGATGACTGTCTTTACCATTTAAGAAAGTTCAATTTCTATGCCTTAAGAAGTTATTGGGTCGCTTTTGTTATAGGTTTTGGGTCATTATCTGTCTATACTGTGAAACACCTTTCTACCAGTTTTGCAGCATTTGACTTAATTTGAGCAGAAAGTATAGCTCCTTACACTTCATAATTCATCCTGCTACTTCTATCAGCAGTCACCTGATATCAATCAATCATCGATAAACACCAGTGACCCAGTTCCATTGGCAGGCATGTACCCCCTGCCTCAATACTGCCTCCACTTGGTTTAACAGATGTGGTATGCTTCAGATTATGAGCCCGTCCTTTTCTTCCCCATGCACTTCTCTTCCCATTATTCTAGTACAACTTAATCTTTGTTTCATCTGTCTAAAGAATCTTGTTCTAGAACTGGATTTTTTAGATGCCATGGAATCCATGAAACTGCTTATCAGTCAACTGTCCAATTACATTTGAGCCTGTGAAATGGAAGAACTATGTAAAAATGGCTGTAATTCCTAAGCAGTTAATGCTATATTTTTGTTAACCCCCTTGAATTCAAGATGAAAGTCTACACTTTAATTACATCTTGATTGCTTCATTTGAAATCCACTGTGGTGGTGTACAGAGGCAAAATTACAAAACGTGTGTCACTGTCCAAATACTTATGGACATGGTGGAGGTAAAAAAATACAGTATGTTTTGTGTCACTGATTGATGAGGATATTTAGCTAGCTAGGTACGTAGACTTGTCAAGTTAGCAGTTAAAACTGATCTGCCCAACACAATAGCGTAGCAATGAAACTCAACATTTTAGCTAAAGTCTCAAGCTGTTCTCTGATAAGCCTGTGGTTTGTTTATGTTATCACTTAATGTACACATTTGCCATTTTCAGTTCAGACATCCTGAAGGCTTTGCAATACTACATTTGAATACTCACTTGCTGTTGTTTTATGCACTTGGATAACTGGCAGGGGGGACCACCCCTGATACCACTATTTTCTTTGCACTGCTTTCAGCAATAGGCTATAAACCCATATCACAGGGACACGGTGCATTTAAAGAATGTATTGTTTGGCAACTTACTATTGTCTATTGCATATTATTGCATGCAAACATGGCAGGTCAACGCAGCAGTTCCTTCCAGACAATAACAAATAAACGACAAATAAAAACATTAGGTTTTCATAATTCATAATTTAAAATATTAATTGTTTAATTCATGAGGTTTGTTTTTAGAACCACTTAGATCACTGTGCACTTTTCACTGTGTGGAGCTCAGCGGCCAATGTAGCGGTAAACAGAGTCCGCTATGGCAGATACACAGGCTCACACAAAGTTTTGCACTTTGGCCAAGTCAAACTACCATTTTGTCCATGTTAGAGGGAACTACCAGACATACCAAATGAGACTTTGAAGGAAGATTTTTGAGGGAGGCTGAAAACTGGCTACCCTCCATTGCTGCTCTGTTAAATGGTCCAGGTGGAAGTTTGATAACGCTACTATTTACAGTCAGATGTGACAATTGAAGGAAGTTAATGTGCTGTGGTGTGTGTGAAGGTGCTGAAGTTGTATTTTAGGCTGCCTATTTTTGTGTTTCTCCTTATATGGTCATTGTTGTCACACCTGTTACTTGTCCTGTATAAGCTGGGTCTAATCTTGGCATCAGTCCAGCTATAAAACTGTGACAGTCCATTGTCTTATGGGCTGGCTGGCTGTCTGGAACCTGTGCGCACAACGAATAAACTTCACTTTGTCCAGACAGCAGATCGAGTCTCCAGGGTTTGGATTCTATCACAATGCAGTGAGAACGGTCTGTTAGAGCAAGGTGTGTTGGATCTGAAATCTCCAGCATGGTAGATTTGCAGGACCAAGATTAGGTCCCCCCTCATAAGACTAGAGGAAGAGTCTCTGGTGCTACTCGCTCTAAAAAGCAATGTTCATCAGCAACCGTCTTATTGAAAATGCGTAATATACAGAGTGAAACAGAGTGAATTTCCAATATGGATTTATGGTAAATATTGGTCAAAATATCATTTTTTCCCTAAGTTTCTTGCTAGCTAGGTACCTTTAGGTTTACATAAGGTAAAGAAAAGAGAGAGCTAGCTGACAAGCCACCTATTTTAACCATTTTTAAAAACTTCACAGTGTGAATGAGCAAAAGAAATAAATTTACCATTATTGACAACTCTTTATTTTTGTTTTCTTTTATATCGCTTCAGTATTTCACAGCAATTACACAGCAACACACAGTCTTCATCCTTGACTAAGATTAACATGATTTTATTAGGTGATCCACATTACACAGGGAACTATAAACCTTTAAAAATTGTATTTCAGAAACACCTCTGAAGTAAAACACAGAGGAAACTTTTACCACTTGTTTCACAAACACACACGCAGATTTGATAAAGTCAGTGAGAAAGATTTGGGAGCTTAGTGGTCAGGAGTGGTTGGTCTTAAGTTAACTGAAAAAGCAACTCACCAAACTTTAAAGTCCTATGGGTATTTTAAGCAAATTACCCTAAAACAATATCCTTTAGGGATAGGGAAGATTTTTCACACTTCTACTTAATTTCCAAACTGAGTCCACAGGTTAGCAAAGAATCAGCTAAGCAAGATACCTGGTAGCTAGCTCCTTAGCTAGGCATCTAGGCTAAAAAATGTGATACAGCTATCTATAAAAGCACTTGCAGTGCACGTACATTGTTCAGTAATGCATCTTTGGTAAAACTGAATCTTTTTAACATCAAAGAAAGCTTGCTGTATTATCCACCTCACATACTGTAGTACGATGCCAGGGTTACAGCTCAGACTGTATTAAGCCCACTCTGACATCTGAACGTTCTAGCGGGTGTGTGGCTAAAATTGAAAAAACTTAAATTAATGGAATACATGTAAGTTTTTTAACAAGGGAAATGAGTATTGTAAACTTTATTGTGTCATCACTGGCAACAATTTACTTTGTCTTTTACTATCAAATACAGTAGACCTAACAGAATCTAATCTAACCTAAAAGGTACACTGAAAAATAAAAAAAAACATGTGCAGATGAGATTACATTTGGATTATTAGCCCAACTTATTGGCTCCTTGCAAAAACGCAGAAAAGATTTGTTAACAGCCATACAATGTGTTTTGAATGTAAGCAGGGTTTGAGAGGTACATTTACAATCTTATCTTATCTTTTGGCAGCACCCCTATTTTTTTCACGCAAAGCCTGCCTTAGAGGGCACGTTGTAGGGGAGACTGTAGGGCAGGGGTGTCCAATCTTATCCGAAAAGGGCCGGTGTGGCTGCAGGTTTTCAGTGCAACAAAGCAGGAGCACCAATAGGCTGTACCAATCTATAATCTATGTATTTTTTTAATAACATATTCAGGATCAGCTGCTTATTTAAAAGAGAGGCAATAGCATTGCTTGGCTTTAGTTCCTTTTCTTCATCTGTGTCTGTTGCACGTCAACAGATATTTACAGATGTATACAAAAGTTTGAACACCCATGGTCAAATTACATGTTTTGTTGATTTTCTAAGTAAAAATAAGTGAAGACGTCCTATGCAATGAAATTCTCTAGCTATTTTAGTGCACAATTAAAATTTTTTTGCTGAGTTTAACATATTGGGAAAAAAACATATAATATGTCAAAAAATTTGCGTAGGCTACATTTTATGTTTTATTATTTTTCAGAATGTTAAAGTCAGGGCCGTAACTAGGATCAACATTTAAATAAGGTCCATTTTGCAGAAAAGTGACCTATATCACACAGTAACTAAACTAACTTTGATTCTCATTTTCTCATTTTCAGTGCTTGTCTCTTTTGCACTCTACCTACTCTATCCTCACAGATTATTGAAAAAAGCATACATTAAAAGTACTTTATAAAAGCCAGTCTCTGCCAAACCCCAGCTAACAGAAAGGTAGCTACTCATTCACTTAACCAGACGTAATACAGAATTATCTTACATGATACTGTGTCATTAATATGCCAGTTACCAGTTAATGCTGGTTGTATTATGTTATGAGTAGGTAACACAATACAACCTTGAACTACCATTAGTAGTCCCCCCCCCCTAAACAGCAGAGGGCGCCCGTGAGTGAGTCCTCAATGAATGGGAGTGAATGCGGCTCAACGGCTAAAAATGAAAAGTTAAAATAGTTTCTAATCACTTGCCCGGAATGTTTCTTTAATTTTAGAAAGTAGAAGGATGTATTTCACTAAAAAAAACAATTAGATGTTACATATATATTTCCTTTTTTCTACAGCAATGGGTTTTGGGCAGCAGAAGGCAGGCATTAGTGCTAGAGTGTGATGATTGGTGAGCGGAGCAGCTCATTGGCTGTTCGTGCTCACTGACATCATGAACATACATGAGGTGCCATTTTAAATTCCTATAACTCGAGTTTAAAAGCTCTTAAAAATATAACAGCAGTGTTAAAATGTTTTATGATATTCAGTGTTCAGGAAATGATTACATTCTTTTACATTAAAAATGTAATTTATAAACTATGATTTTGCTCAAATGCTCCCTATCAACCCATTGATTTTGGACTCACTCAGGAGCACCCTCTAGCATTTGAGAAAAACAGAAGACATTGCAGAGTGGTAATTCTCATCTCTACAAGTTCTCTTGCAACAGACCACTGTAGTCGTGTCATGATTTTGTAGTCGGCACTATGTTCTTATGCCCATAATAGGAACTCGGGGTCTAAGCTCTATTTCTCTATGGCCAGAATGAATAGGGTTTTCGAAAAATCTCTAGTATCGCACCTTGTGTTTAATAAAAATGTTCAGAACTCAATGTCCTGTGAACATTCTTCTCTCGAATACCGCAATGTCGTTAAAGTGTTGAAATATGAATATTGCTACATGTAAGCTAAAGCTACTGCACACTGAATTCACGTCATTAGACTGGCAGCCTCCCTAAGCAGGTTTTGGCAGCGTACATTTCCATGTTCAGACTGAGGGCAGATGAAAAGAATTTAAAACAAAATCAGCATGTTTCTCTGCAGTTTTTCATCTGATGCTCACTGAAACACCATAGATCTTTCCTTTTAGCTTGATTTGAAAACATCTACAAACATACCTGCACTCAGGCTAATCCAGTACAGACTCAGCTTCTGCAGCTTCTGCTGCACTATTTAATGTGGAACGGGAAAAATTCGAACAAGCATCCGGCGAAAAAGAAGCTGACTTCAGCTTCATGGAGGGTTGAAAGGCATACTGTGAGGAGGTTTCACTATTTACACTTAACAGCTGAGTAACATTAAATTATTACAGGTCAGTATTTTGTCTTGTTTGCTAATGTTTGTGATAGCTAGTCACAGCTGCTGCACCATTTAAGGTGGAACGGGAACATTCAAACAAGAAGCTGCGAAAAAAGAAGCTAAATTCAGCCTCCTAGTTTTAACACAGGTAAAATTTTTGATAAGGAGTTTTAGCCTAACAAAATATCCCATCCAGAAGTTTTATTTACGGTTATACCTATAATTATGCGCTATGGTAGAATATTTTGATGAGGTAGCACAACTCGTCAGAGCACCGCCACAGCCCGCCTTAGTTTTGTGTAGCTTAGTGACATCACATTGATGCGCATTAGCTTTAGCTCACATGTAGCAATATTAGTATTATAGCTCTTTATGACCTTGTAATTCTGAGGATCCAGTAGTATTCGGGAGAAAAATGCACACAAGACAAAGCGTATCGGGTTCTGAACATTTTTATTTAACACAGGGTGCAACAGAGTTGATTTTTCAAAAACCCTATTGATTAAACAGGCCTGCCTGTGACTACACCCCTGAGGAAGCTACCTCATTATTAGGACAGTGCTATTTCCACATCAAATTTCATGAATGTAGATACATGAAAAAATCTTTCTGAAACTACTGAGGTCTGGACCTTGGTGTCCTCATAGCTAGTTGTGGCAATGGTTAAATTCAGCAAATAAACAGTAAATGTGCATTAAAATGTTAATGTTAACTTATTTTCACTTAGAAAATCAAAAACATCATTTTACTTGAAAGACAGATCTCTGTGTCAACTTGACCTATTGCTACTTTAAAAATTCATGATGAACAGATATTTTGGTATTTTTTTTTGGTATACTGATATTTTTTTAAACAAACAAAACAATCTCCTGGGGGGAGCATGCCCCCAGACCCCTGTAGTAGCCTCCTATTCATAAATCTCTAGTGAAACCACTGATAACCTGACCTAGCTCTAAAGCCCACTAGACATTTCACACTTGCACTGGAAGTCCATCCAGGTACCAGGTATTCTGTGATTAGGTATGTTAGGAACTGGGTTCGAGTACAAATGTGGACCAAATATAGGTCAATGAGTTGAGAAACTACACTACCGGAGAGGAAGTTTGCATTTCTGCCAGGCGGGGGTGTCCTGCGCAGGATGAATGGACTATCCGCCTGGTCTTCCATGGGGATCATGACCTCACCGTCTTGTTCCACTTCGAACAGCTCTGCCAGTCGCCGGCGGCGGCGAAAATTCACACAGAACTGATACAGCAGCCCGCTGTCAAAGAAATGATGCTTCAGAGAGACTGTAGAGATGGGACAAGTTGGGGAAACACAGGCAGAGAGAGTATGTCACACATAGTGTAGAAACATTGATGTAGTGATATGCAATTTGTAAAATAAACTTTAGTTTCTTTACCACACTCCATCATAGACATGTTGTGTGCGTGTGTCTTCAAACATTTAACACAAAGATGTGTTGTAAATGTGTTAAAATAGTGATAAACAAAAATAATTAATAATACTTAATAATACTACTACTAATAATACTTAATTAAACAACTTAATGACCTCCAATTTGGATCAAGATGGCAAAGGGAAAAGATCTAAATGACTTTGAAAGAGATTTCATTATTAACTATTATTATTGACTGTTCAAAATATACCCTGTATTGCTGTGTATTTGCTATTTGCTACAATGAAACTTTTCTGTTTGGATGAGAGTGGTCTCTTCCAGGATGACAGTGCCCCCATCTGTGGGGCACAGGGTTTACTGAATGGTTTGATGAAAATTACAATGATGTAAAAATTATGTTATGGCTTTCACAGTCACCAGATCACTGTCCAATTAAAAACTTAAGACACCCTCTAGATAAATGAAGTCTGTTCTCTGGCTGATCTTTATTGTGCCTTATTAGAAAAGCACTCCAAGCTGACCAGCACAACATTTAATCGTTTCCCCCACAACCTTCACTCCACTATTCCAATTATTCTGCTACAGACTATCTGCAGTAACAGCCCTCCATATTATTCAAGCAGGAATGTGCAGAGCTAAACTGCTCTAGGCCTTTTAAAAATGTTAACAATGTTTATGTAGTACATCAAACTAATACAAAAATTAATTTTTTCCATAATATGGGCCATTTAACAATTATTTTTGTTCGTGTGTGTAAGGAGTGTGCGTTGTATATCAATTTTTGTTGTGTATCATAGCATTAGGTGGTCCACCATGTTGGATGATGCCGTGCTCCAGCAGTGTCCTGCTTAACTCCACCCCCTCACTCCTGCTCTCTGCCTCTCCATTCTGCAGCAGCCAATCAATCAGCTGGAACCCCGCAAAACAGCGTTTATAAAGCACGCCCTTCTCCTCTCGCACCTGCAGGAGACACTCTCTGCTTGACAGAAGACTGAATACACACACAAAGAAAAACAAATATACACAAAGTATAATTGTAATTGACTTATCCTGCTCACAAATGCATTCTTTCGTAAGAAGAATGCATTTGCAAGGTTGCAAGGTTGCTGTCAAACACTGTCTAAATTCATTACAGTGCATTAATAATTTCAAATGGTTTTAATTTGATATGATGTGTTCAAGATTATAATTATAAGATTGACCAAGTTTGTCTGTCATGTAACAAGTTTTTTTATGAATAATCATCTGGTAGGCTAAGCAGGATGTTCAGTATAATCTGTTTAAGCATTGTTAGCTAGTCAAAACTCTGTGTCGCTCTCTGTCACTGTCATCAAGTAGCTTGCTTTTATTAATAACACTTGAGGTAACATATTGTTGTGTTCTTTGTTTTTCCCATAATATGAATGAAGGAAAATCCTTTAGAGTAACCATGAGCCATGCTACAGTAGCTAGTGAAGTAGGCTACAATGCTCACTTAGCTAGCTAGCAGCACTAAAACAGCTGCAGCTGGTTAACGTTTTGCTTATCAACCAAATATTTATTCTTGAAGACCCAAATTACATATCAAAAAACTACATTCGATCTATCTTGTTTGGTTGAACAATCTGTAAAGTTCTGTAAAGCAGAGCAGGATAGGGTGATTCCCGTCTCCATGCTGTATATAACACTCGACACAACAGCACTAGTCTACTGCTTAACACTGTTTGCAAGAGGGACTGAAGTGTTATACTACAGCCATTACAGCCTTCATCCTCTATTATTGTCAAAACTTCTACTGTTTGGCCTCAACAGGAAAACTGTCTATGCCCTTCAAACATGGACTGTATATACAGTCATTGTTTAGAACATACAACACCTGGTTCAGGGTACAAGAAGAGAAAGTCTTACTGTTCATATACAACCCCATTTCCAAAAAAGTTGGGACACTGTGCAGAATGTAAATAACAATAGAATGCAATGATGTGCAAATCATGTAAACCATATTTTTTTAAGGAAAATCCTACAAAGACAACATATCAAATGTTGCAACTGAGAAATTTTATTGTTTTTTGAAAAATATATGTCCATTTTGAATTTAAAGCCAACAACATGTTCCAAAAAAGTTGGGACAGGGGCATGTTTACCACTGTGTTTCATCACCTCTTCTTTTAACAACACTCTGTAAGCATTTGGGAACTGAGAAGACCAATTGCTATAGTTTTGAAAGTGAAACGTTTTCCCATTCTTGTTTGATACAGGATTTCAGCTGCTCAACAGATGGATCCTGTTCATATCATTTCTTTGCGTTTTAGAGTTTTAACTTGCATTTGTGGATGCAGTGACGAAATGTTTTCACAGACAATCGTTTTCAGAAGTGCTCCCGAGCACATGCAGTGATTTCCTCTACAGAATCATGTCTGTTTTTAATAAAGTGCCGCCTGAGGGCCCAAAGATCATGGCCAGCAAATACTGGTTTTTGGCCTTGACCCTTGCATACAGAGATTTCTCCAGATTCTCTGAGTCTTGTAATATTATTATGTACCGTATTTGCTATTTTATGTTGAGAAATGTTATTCTTAAATTGTTGCACTATTTGCTCGTGCAATCTTTCACAGAGTGGTGAACCCCTCCTCATCTTTACATCTGAAAGACTGGGCCTCTCTGGGATGCTCTTTTTATATCCAATCATGTTACTGACCTGTTGCCAATCAACCACCAGGTGTTTTTTAGCATTACACAACTTTACCAGCCTTTTGTTGCCCCTGTCTCAACTTTTTTGGAACGTGTTGTTGGCATCAAATTCAAAATGGGCATACATTTTTCAAAAAAACATTTGATATGTTGTCTTTGTACTATTTTCAATGAAATATAGGGTTTAAATGAATAGCACATTATTGCATTTTGTTTTTATTTACATTTTATATTTACATTGTGCCCCAACTGTTTTTTTGGAAATGGGGTAGTAGATAAATAACAGAAATATCAGTAATATATGTGAACAATGTGTAAATAATAGAAAATCTTACTATTCATATAGATAAATAAGGTGAACAATATTAGGGTAAAAACATTACTGTTCGTATAAACTCTGTCCACGCGTGAAGACTTTCTCCTCAGTGCTGAAGGGGAATGTCCCATCATCCTTGCGGAAGCGGTAAAGCAACTTTGCATCTTTGAACATTGGCCATTTATCACACACTATTGGGAGACATGAAAAACAAAAAAGATTTACACTAAATTAACAGTAACTCCTCTAATTGTAGGAGAGAGGGAGGCACAGGGGAAACTGTAGCATAGATATTTTATGTAGTTAAACACATTCAAGTAGAACATGCATTTGGTCATCTTACTGTATTCCTATAGCAATGTCAATGTCTGATAGCAAGTTAGCAAATGAACACATATTTCTCAAGGTTGACCCTAAAGTCTGTTTTTGTACCATGAAAGTAACTCTTATTTTAATGAGTTTTATGTATATGTTGCAGAACTCACACCTGTTTTATTTGCCCATTGAAAGAACACCATACACCTCCATATAAACTTAAAACAGTAAATGTTTTCGAAGGTTTTATTCATCGATTCACCAAAACTTGCTATATATGTAAATAAAATATATTCATTTTCATTTTGGTGATATACACCCTTGTACTCTTCTCTTCTTCAGAATACATTTACCAGTCTGTTTTCAGTGATCGTATTTTTATTGATTAATATATTTTGATATATTTAGGTTCAAAAGTTTGTTTGACATATTGTCGCTGTCAGAACAAAACCTGTCTTCAAAAATTTGGTTTACAGGAGAAGGAAGAAAAAATGTTCTTAACTTTCAGTGTAAGTTAATGTAACAGAATTTTATTCTAAGTCAGGGGTGTACAACTCTGGTCCTGGAGGACCATTGTCCAGCACAGTTTGGAGGTTTCCCCACTCAAACACACCCACTTAACATAGCAATTAACAGATAAATGTAATTAGGTGTGTTGGACAGGTAAATCACCAAACTGCAGGACGTTGGCGCTCCAGGACCAGAGCTGTGCACCCCTGTTCTAAGTCATTTTGTACCATTCTATAGGCTGTTTAGCTCGTAAGTCTAGTGCAATGAACCCCACTTACAGGGTAACAGCTGCACTCACTGTGCTTTTGCTAAATTGCTCAGAATGTGTAGATGTTTGTAAGTTTACATTTTCATTTGTAGCAGAGATATGTAGGTTGCTTGTAAAAAAAATAGTATTTTAAAAAAATATTTACTAAAAAAACAAACTCTGTTAGGTAGTTCCCCAGTCTCCTTTATTAGTTTGATCATTTGTACCGTGGTGTATGATGTCATGGTCCATTAATCGCTGCATCACTTTAACAGCAGTGTCCCGGTCTGGCACTTCTTTGTGAATGGTCAGCCAGTCCACCAGCTCCTGCGCTACAAAGCAGTTTGGGTATGTCCTCAGGTGGACCCGCCGGTCCTTTATCAGCTTTCCAAAATGCAGACGCAATCTAACACACAAACACAAAATAATAATTTTACAACAGAATGGATGCTGATCTTGGCTAGGGAGTGATGATACAATGATTTTGATCAATACCAGGTAATATGAACATCAGTTCTTAGCAGCCAGTGTGGAAAAAAATGACACTTTGAAGGAAGAATTAAACTGTAATTTGCTTCTTTGCTAGCCCTGTGGCATGGGCCCCAAAGCAAATGGCAATGGCAATAAAAAGGGCAAATAACTATAATTAACCAAAACAAATTAAAGTTATTTCATGATTACTTTGTTTTCAATAATAATAATAAAAATAATAATAAGAATAATAAGAATAATAACTGATACAATAGACAATATAACAACTGATCATCAAATGGCACACACAAAAATATCCCTGAGAAGCCACTGTTTATGTATTAAATATTGTATAAATGTTAAAATCATACCGGAGTTGTTCTCCTGCAATCATAGCTTCCGCTTTGTGCTGTCTGCTCATAACTCTGGTGCTAATGCCAACACTGCTAATCCCCTCCATACTCCTCTCTTGTCCTCTCTCAGGTCTGAACTGTTTTCCCTTTAATGCTGTTTCTGTGTTTAGTAAACAGCCATTGAATGTAGGCAGCTGTTCTTCAGAAAGGTGAAAACGTTGCAAACAGGAACACACTTTCATCTCACTGTGTATTTTTTTTTCAAATGAAATCAGCTTCAGGCTGCTTTACTAGCCTGACAAACAACAGTATATTTCATTACCAAAGCCCCTGGGTTTATAAAAATTGGAAATGTTAAAGAAAGATAGTAAATAAAACATTAGGGCCTGGACATGTAAAACTATTAATATTGGACACTGAACATTGCAATATTGCATCTGTTCTTTCTTATCTGCCCAAAGCCAATGGTGGATCATCACCAGAAATTCCTTTTAGTCTAGGCTGAGGCTTAATCTAGGTCTGCAAAACTGGCCCTAAATGACATGCATAAACAATTAGTTCACTAATAAACAATGTGAGGTGGTCAAGAGGGTAAAGAAGGCCCTATCAAATATTTAAAAAATATGCGTAGTTGTCATTTTCATAAGTCTGCATTCAATTTTATGTGTGTAACATTGATCATTACAAAAAACAACCTTAATTCTCTTTGACTTCCAGTGTATGTACAGCCTCTTTAACCTCTTTGCCTGTTTGTAAACTCCTCTACTTCCCATATCAAACACAAGATGTCACTGAAGTGCTTTAGGAGTGCTTATCATACAAGATTTAATCTGCTTATATTGCAATATAACGTTAATCTTATGGTACATCACTAATCTTGTGCAATTAACTACATACAAACACATTTAAAAAGAATGAAAAATTATACACATAAAAACCCTCAAAAAATTATGAAGTATCAGCACTTTGCTATGAACTGACGAGGTTATGATATAATAGGCCAAAATATGTGTGTACTATATTATTATTATTATTATTATTATTATTATTATTATTATTATTGTTATTATTATGCATAATAGCATAAATAGGTTTTATCTTTTCAAATTGACACCTGAATTGCTATAGAAAGTGAGTGACTGTGCAAGACATCAAGGGAACTAGACTAGGAACATTTGAACACTACTGGAAAATGTGTCACACAGAATACATGCACAATTTTGATAGCACAGCTAACTGCTAATTAATTAATAAAAGTTGAAAGCAGATAAAAACTTCAAATCTGATCAGCAACCTTTTTACTAGTGAGAACTTAACTTTCTATACCATGTGTGTCTCACAGATCATGGCCTCACTAGACCCCTGGGCACCAGGGTCTTTGAAAGCCCCCTTCACACCCCACACTCTAATGACAACACCAAATATAACAGAAAAAAATAGACCTGAAAAATAACATTTATAAACAGTTCATGTTTGTTTATGTGCACTTTGACCAGCACTGGAAAAATTGTGTTAATTTTCAATCTTTGTGTAGTGGCCTGCCATTTCCTCCCCACTTATACTGCTGCAAATTTGTGGCTTTTCATTACTTTAATCATGGTGTCTGGGTGTGGCCTGAGAAGCCTTTATTTCATTCACTTAGGCTATTGGTTCATCTAATGTTTGCACCTCCTCTCACAGTCTTTGAATTATACCAGGCCTTGTAGTGTCAGGCCCCTGGCAGTTAGAGGCCCCTGGGCACTGGCCCTATTGGCCCTGTCAGTAATCCATCCCTGCACGGCACAATCTGAGCCTTTTAGTAAAATTTTCTGCTAAAGGAGTGATTAGCAATTGTTTCCCTTGCCTGCACTGGACAGTGTTCAGTGACAGTTTAAAGTCAACATGATGTATTTCTTAATGAAACACAGTTTTAGGGAGTGTCTCTGGGCTAGTTAGAGTGTTTATGCTCAATGATAGGTGAAGATAGTGGGAAGAAAAAGTGAAATAAGGTATCATGGGTTAATATTATACTTCCCTATCTGCTGGTGCACAGTGACGTAATCAAAACTCAGAAGATATTTTAGAAAATGGCAAAAGTCACTATATGTTTATCAAAAATTATGGAAAAACAAATACAAAAAGTGTGGCCAAATGTATGTGGACACTTGACCATCACACCTAAATAAGCTTGTTAGATATCTGATGACAAAACCATGGCATTAATATGAAGTTGGCCTCTTTTGTAGTTATAACAGCTTCCATTCTCCTTTTCACAAGATTTTGGAGTGTGTTAGCACTTGGCATTTTTGATTGTGTACAGCTGCTCAGCCAAGGAAACCCTTCCTATGAAGCTCCCAATGCACAGTTCTTGTGCTGATGTTGCTTCCAGAGGCAGTTTGGATATCAGTAGTGAGTAAGGCAACAAAGAATAGGCATTTTTTTACATGCTACACAATTCAACAATCAGTGATCCTGCTCTGCATGGTCTACCACTTTGTAGCTGACATGCTGTTGCTCTTAGATGCTTCTATTTTACAATAATAGCACTTACAGTTGACTGGGGCATAACTAGCAGGGCAGACATTTCACAAACTCATTAAATTAAGGGTGACATCCTATCACACTTCCACCTTTAAAGTCCCTGAGCTCTGAGCACTGATTACATGTCTATGGAGATTGCAGAGCTATGTACTTGATTTTATACAGCTAATTAGTAGTGGATTCCAAAATACTTTTGGCCATATAGTGTACGTCTTTTAAATTACATGATATGTCCAATGACTAATAAAGTAAAAAGTTTAAGTTGATTTTTAGTTTGTGAATAACTGCTGATTAAGCAGCTACAGATAAACACCAACGAAGCCTCATAATTCTAGCTAATTATCTAGACCCCACATAGCTGACATGGTGATAGTGTAATAGGTTAAGTAGCCATTTGAAACATCAGCATAAGGTGGCAGAGTAATATATAACAGGGATATTTTGTAGTCACACAGGTTCAAGAAAAATGTATTTTTGGTCTTGTATTCCAGAGTAAAAATAAGTAAAATTATCTGTCAATTTTGACAGCAATCAGTTTCTCGACTCTTTTTGTACCATTATCGTAAGTGTTTTTTTGATTATGTGTGAAGTTGTGTGTATAAGTCAAAGAGTTCAGTCCTATATTATTTTATTTACCTTTTAAATGGCTGTAATATAACACAATATTAAGTATGTAAACAATGCACAGTGAGAGCCAGCCGGGATAAAGTGCAGCCTTCACACAACAGGTTTAGTTGTATTGTGGTGTTACAACTAAGCTTAACAGTGAGAGAAGTACATACCTGTCCATATACATCCAAAATAGTTTTTATTTTTTGTTTTCTGCATTATAGATAGAATTCAAATAAAATATTACAGTTTTACTGTGCTGATTTCCTCTTTCACACAGTCTCTTTTCACTAATGATATTATTTTTTATTACTAAATGTAGGTTAAAAAGCTTGTCTGTTTAAATCAATAAAACTGTACTGATTTAATTGTGTTTGCATCGATTTTTCCAGTAACTGTTACAACTATAGCCCCTCAGGATGTTAACCCTATGGTAAGTTGTAACATATGCACTCGAATTTCGGCTAAATTGTTCACAAACGAAGTGTAATTTTTCATCTTATAACAGATATGTGCTTGTATACAAAATATTAATGTTGGATAAAATTGATTAATTTTGCTCAAATGCATTTAAAATAAAAACGAAACGGAGCAAAACGTATGTGCCCCACTTTTCCCCACATACAGTCGTGCGCAAATGTTTGGACGCCCCGGTCACGTTTTGTTGATTTTCTAATTGAAAAAAAGTAAACAACCTCTACAGAGCACTTCCGATTTAACATATTGGGAAAAATAAAACAAAAATGTCTTTTATATTTTATTTTAGTTCCCTGTGGAGGAAGTGCTTATTTCCACCTGAAAAATCAGTAAAACATGTCGTTTAACCAGGGTATTCAAAGTTTTGTATACGACTGTATATGATGCCTTCTTTAAACTTATTGGCCAAGCGTCTTTAGCAGGGAGCATATTTAAAAAAAAAACCCTTTAGGAGATGAGCGTTGATAAATTAAATCCCGCCTTAGACAACTACTAAAACACAACTCTGTGTGCTGAGAGTGTGTGTTGTGAAGAAGGCGGCGCCTCGTGTGCTTTAAATCTGCTCACCTCCTGCTTACACAGCCCTCACACACAGTCGTTGTAGATATTTGCGCGTGAACTCCAGAGACACAGAGAGAAGAGGCTGGACTGGATTGCTTTGGGCCTAATGAGTGCTTTCGTTTGTAGTTAATTTTTCAGTTTTTTGGTTAGTAAGCTTTCTTTAGTGCTCTTTGTTTGTTGATGTGAGGTGTACTGAAAGGTCCATGGATCAGCTTTCACTCCTTGAACCTCTCGGTTTGGACTACATGGACTTTAGGCTGGATCTATGCGCGCTCCCCCGTGCGCGGGCTACAGGTTCCGCGTGCACAAGCCCCCCCAGCACGCCCTGCAGCTCCGTCCCCACGTCCCCGAGCGGCTTCGGCGTGGACGAGTTTTACTGGGCGGGTGCATGGCCGCCGCCGCAGCAGCAGTTCGAGCAGGCACACACGCACGTGCAGTTCGCATTCCCGCAGCGACAGCAACAGCAGCAGCTTCTTAATCACTATCAGCGCGCAGAGTTCGGCTCGTGCAAGTCTGCTGCACAGTTTCCTGCCCAAAACGAACAGCTGCGCGCGCTCCCGTGTACATCGGACCCGGTCTCGGAGCGCGCGCGCCCGCAGCGCTTCACCGATGAGCAGCTCGTGTCCATGTCCGTGCGCGAGCTGAACCGGCGCCTGCGTGGCGCGGGCAGGGAGGAGGTCGCGCGCCTGAAGCAGAAGCGCCGCACGCTGAAGAACCGCGGGTACGCGCAGTCCTGCCGCTTAAAGCGCGTGCAGCAGAAGCGCGCGCTCGAGCGCGAGAAGACGCACCTGGTGGCAGAGGTGGATGAGCTGAAGCGCGAGCTGAGCCACCTGCTGCGCGAGCGCGACGCCTATAGGCTGCAGTGTGAGAGCCTCGCGGATGGCACAGCACAGGGGCTCGCACTGTAGGGCACAAGCACACCCGGGGATTCATCCTTTAATTGTTTCATCTAACTAGGAGATCAGAGTTTATTGTACTGACTCTCTGCAGAGACTCTGCGGGTTCTGTTCCACAGCTTTAAAGGACCAATCCAGCATTTACCGCAAACATTTTTTTTCTCTAGTTTTCCAGTGTTTTAAAATGATGTTTGTGGTTGTGTTGTGAAATGTTTCAAAAGTGGAAATCTCCCTCACATGGAAAAATTTGTACACTGGCAGGAAAGATAAAAACATCTGTTATTAGGCCACTCAGAATTAAACAGAAGTGTTTATGTTAAAGGTCATTGTCGCAAGAACATTTTCCCCCCAAGGTATGGCATGTACAAAAATGCTTCCCATAGGCATCCCTAGAGTTGGACTGAAAATAGTTCAGATGGTCTTGTCCATGTTCTCAAGTTATTGTGTGAATTATTTTCTGAAATTTATTCATTATTAATTTATTTATTCATTATTTGCATATTAGTATCTCAATGGATGCCTATGAGAGGGATTTTTGTGCTGTTTCTTACTTTAAAACACATTCCATCAAAAAGTTTTCAAAACAGTGGTACTGTTTTTTAACAACGAATAAAGGAGCAGACATTAATGACTAATATTTGAGTGTAGCTTTAAGATGCTCAACTGTGCTTGAAAATCCGTTAATTAATGGTCACTCATTTATATATCAATGCAAATCAACATGGGTTAGGCACTGTGTGTCAGCGTACAGCTAGTGTTTAAAAACTCAAGCTGGGCTCTGAGATCACTATTAAACTGAACTGATGTTTTGGGCATTTTTAACAATGTATTTTATTTTTACATTGAACGTCACTGCAGACTAGTTAAAAAGATTTGTTAGTTTAAAACTTATACTGGAGGTAACTTTCTCTATTTTAATAAATTTCAGAATGTTTCACTTATTCATTCCTATATGTGTGCGTATGTGTGTGTGTGTGTGTGTGAGTGTACACACACTGTGCAAAAGTCTAAGCACATTACCACTTATCTGGGTAATAAAGGTGCCTGTGCATGTAAAATACCATATATGGCTAAAACAAGAGGAAATGAACATGAATAAAGTAAAAGTAAGAAGAGGTTCATGGTTTTAGAAAAGAAGTTAATATCTTGAGCTAGTTTGAAGAACAAAGGTTCCTGATGTTTTCTTGAAGCCCCTAGCTGTCACATGGATTTGATACATTCCATTACCATCACACCTGATTTAACATAATGTATAAAAGTATTAATTAACCATACCAGGTGCATGATAACCATGAATTATACCAGGTAGCCCCAAAGAGAGGTTTGGAAATTGCAGTGACATAAATGAAATTAATACTTATTGAATAATGTTATTTGTTTGGATAATGCACATGCCCACCCAAATCCATTAAGGGCCCACACCAGTGGGCTAGGTGATGTGGGCTAGCTGTGGAGTGACCCACAGTGATCCTGTGTCAGGTTATCCGTGGGTGGGCCCAGAGGTGTACTGTCTTTTTGGTTGGTGGACTATTCAGCAGTTGTGTAAGCAATTTAGCAACACTGCTGTGTATAATTTACTTTGTCACCACATCAGTGTCACTGCAGTGCTGAAAACGATCTGCTACTCATATAGTAGGCATAATGATATTAAATAGAAATATAGTAGAAAAAAAAAACAGGCTCTAACCGTTCAGTAAAGGTTCTAGCTTTAGATTCTTAGAAGCCCATTGAACGTAGACGAAGGTGAATTTCACAATTTCTTCAAAATTTCTACATAAATAAAACACTAAGATGTAAACTCATTCAGAGTGGTTTCATTTAGAGCAGTGGTTCTTTGTAGAGAAACTTACTTAGATTCTCTACAGTGGTGGTGACAGGAAACAGGGGCTACAATGTATGCAACACAACATGACCAAATGACCAGTGAATTTTTACATGTCTCTTACGTGTACATGTAGAATGTTGATAATGGTAAAAAAAATTTCTTCAGGTACTATTTTGCCTCAGAACATCCTATGTTTACATTCCCACCATGAATATATTAAAAATATGTTTTTAGGCCAAAATCTTCTCTAAAAATTATTGTCAAACATGTTTCAGGCATCAGCCAGCATATTAGTAAGCATTTCATGTAATAACTTTCTGTAGTTAAGTAGCTTTTACAGGCAGTTGAACTCAAATGTCTGGTTCCTATCACCACTACTGTGAACAATTCTGACTCAGTAAATTTCTCTAGAACGGAGCATTTTATATCAAAACACTAAGTTTATTTACATTTAAACCATTTAACTACACTGGAATTGTGAAAAATCTCTTTAAAAACTGTAACATTCAGTTATCATGTATTTTGTTTAATTTAAACAATTCTTAAAAAACAATAGTAATGATCTGGTCATTAGGTCCAGCTGATATTTTTGTTTATATCTTTCAGTCTGTGTTGCGACATGACCTTCGACCCTTCAGCTTGTTGTCCACTATCCAATTTGCAGTTAGTCCATAAGTCCATGACTGACCTCTATTTGCTGACCTGGAGGGTTGGTCAGTGATACAGAATGTGTGTTAAAGTTCTGGTGTTAGTCCCACATCACACTCCTAGGTTATTTTTAGTGTTCTGTCACACTTTCTGAGAAAATAAGTCAGCGGCTGAAGGTTGATGATTCACTATTGAGTGACATAGATGATTACAGAGATAGCCAACTTTCACCAAATGAATACCAGGCTGAACTGAACAGTAGTGAAGAACCTGTAAGTGCTTTTTCATGCAAAGTTAAAGTTGATGTGGATATGTTCACAGAGCTGCTCTGTGCTAATAACATTAGTAAGTTAGGATTAGGGCTGGACTCATTGATCTCATCAGCTTTTCTCCAAAACTTAACTTACATACCAAACATTATCCCAGTCCAGCACTAGTTTATTTTTCTACATTCTGCATGCCTAAATCATTACACACTTGCCTCAAACCACTTCGACAAGCTAAGTAATATGTAATACACTTGCTTATGTTGTTTCTGACGACATACTGTTATCTATTAAAAACAGACAAAAAATACAGTGCATAGCTCAAATGTAGTAATTGTCACCTTGAAGCCAGAATTTTGTTTGTACTTCTGTCCATTTTAGGCGTAAGAGTACCAAAAATAAAACAGTAACTACAAATGCATTGTCAGAAATTACACAAGCAAGTTTATTTAAGATTACTTAACACGTCAACACAGGTTAAGGCAAAATGGTGATAATTTTGGCATGCAGTTTGCCCCATATAATATAATGCTTATATAAACATAAGCTTCTTATTAATTACCCTATTCTTGTACCTCCAGTGCTAAACCTAATAAAGCAAATTTTGGGCTCCAGACACCAGACCCCTGCTCAGCCATATTTGAGGTAATGTGAAAATTGTGTAAATTTGATTTTTTTTGACAAACTATGGCTTTAAAGTTGTCAACAGTAGAACTAAAACCTGCAGACACCAGATATGTGTGTGTGTGTTTGTGTGTGGTCAATGCAGACTGTGCTATACAGTTATTAAAGGCATTAGTCAGCTTTTTCCTAATTCATGTGATAGGGACACTGAGTCAGCAGCACATGTGTGTGCACAAACACAGAGAGAGAGAGAGAGAGAGAGAGAGAGAGAGAGAGCACTCTCAGGAGGAGAAACTCAGTTTTGTTTTGTTTTTTTTTTTTTTACTATTTCTGTTGCGTTCTTGCCCTGCAGTGGACTGGCAGCCTGTCCAGGCTGTTTCCTGCCTTCCACCCAGTAAGGGCTGGGATACACTTCACCATTCCTCACGACACAGGAGGATAAGTGGCTTAAATAATATGTGTGTTATGTTGTTTTAATTTTTCTACAGAACCAGCAGTTTTGTTTGCAATTTTAGTTTTTTGAATGTTTATGAATGTTTGTTACAGTAAGTTTCATTAAAACTCAGATTCAAATCTCAGCTGTGAGTGAGAGCAGGAGGTGTGTGGACAGTGGACAGACAGCTGGGTCTGTCTCCATTACTCACCATGACTGACCATCACTGACCACTATAGACTATTATTAATTATGGCTGACCATTACTGTGCACTACTGACCTTTAATGACTACTACTGACCATTATTAATCAATACTGACAATTACAGAGCATTACTGATTAATGTTGATAAATGGCAAGCATTACTGCTCAATGCTGACCATTACAGAGCATTTCTGACCGATGTTGACCATTGCTGACCATGACTGAGAATTATTGACCAATAACCCTGACTATCGCCCTGACTGAACATTACTGACCAATACAGACCACTGCTGACCAATATCAACCTTCAGGTCTATGCATAGACTTTTTTGGGGCTGAGATGCTCACTGGAAAAAAAGGCAACTCGAACACAAATTAAATTTAAAATTACAGCATAAAGAAAATATATTATCCAAAGAAATAGTCTGTTTCAAAGAAAGGCAAATGTAACATTGGGAATCTTATATTATGTTTCAGTTATAGTGGGACTTGAACCCCAGTCTCCTCCATGAGGATGAGGATGTTTTAAGATTAGATGATCCTTATTAGTCCCACAACAGGGAAGTTTCACCTCCACATTTAACCCATCCATGCAGTGAAACACCACATACACACTAGTGAATGCACACACACTAGGGGAAGTGAGCACACTTGCCTGGAGCGGTTGGCAGCCCTGTCCACAGCACCCGGGGAGCAGTTGGGGGTTAGATGCCTTGCTCAAGGGCACTTCAGTCATGTACTGTCGGCTCAGGGAATCGAACTGGTGACCTTATATAGTAGTCTTCTACTATTTCATATAGTGCAATGAAAAAATATTTTCCCCCTTCCCACTTTCTTCTATTTTTGCATATCTGTCACACTTTCATGTTTCAGATCCAACTGCTTTTAATATTTGGCAAAAATAAACCAAGTAAACATAAAACACTGTTTTTAAATGATTCATTTATTGAAGAAAATGCTGTTCAGCCCTACCTGACCCTATGTGAAAAAGTAATTGTCCCCTCAGTTACTAAATCAACCAGTTAACCAAATTCAATTGGCTATTGTGTTCGATTTCATTAGCCACGCCCAGGAATGATTACTGACAGACCTACTGAATCTAACCATCTCTCAAATAGAAAGCAGGCTAGAATACATGGTTCCCGTTACATCTGCTGTAAAGTTAACACCGCATTCCACCCAAGAACATCATACCAACAATCAAACATGGTGGTGTTACTGTGATGGTGTGGGGCTGCTTTGCTTCTGCGGGACCTTGGTGACCCATCAGTTTGTGACCTGAATCTCAAGCACAGTTGGGTTATGCAGCAGGACAATGATCCAAAGCACACAAGGAAGTCCACCTCTAAATGGCTCAAAAGAAACAAAATTAAGGTTATGGAGTGGCCGAGTCAAAGACCTGACTTGAATCCCATTGAAATGCTGTGTCAAGACCTTAAATGGGCAATGTAGCTGAATTAAAACAATTTTTCAAAGAAGAAAAATTGTTGCCAAAATTCTTCCACAGTGATTTAAAGGCTTATTGCAAGTTATCGCAAACATTAGATTACTGACAAAGGTGGCACAACCAGTTATTAGGTTTAGGGGGGCAATTATTTTTTCATATGGGTGATATAGGTTTTGAATAAATCTTTATCTTCAATAAATAGAATGATCCTTTAAAAGCTGGATTTTGTGTTTACTCATGTTGTCTTTAATTTATATTAAAATTAGTTTGAAGATCTTAAACAGAGAAATCAACAAAAATAGAGGACATTGGGTAAGGGGCATATACTTTTTCACAGCACTGTACATATGGTAAAAGGTCCACATTGCCACATATAAATTTATGGTTTTTATAATGAAGAAAAGACTTATGTTTAAAGACTTACGTTAATGTTTAGCACATTATC